CTGGACTTCCCACTTCGGAACGAAGTCCCTCATACGCCGTGGACGTCACCCTCGACTCACACCAAGCGCATAGAGTACAGGCCCGACTGAGAACTCAACTGAGACACAATCCAGTAACACACACACACAACCTGAATTGCAAACCAAGTCTTACACGAAGTAACAAAACTTCACTTTGGCATTCAGGGGAAACTTCCCGTAGGAGTACAATCAGGATATATCACTCGAAGGAGTAAGGGGGAACTGTTCAAGTCTCTAACTCGCAACCGGCTCTGAGCATTAGAAATCACCCGCAAGTGCAGATCCACACTACTCAAGTCTCTAACCGGTCTACTAGCTCTGAACATTCAGCCGAAGGCCTTCAGCTACAACATACGGTAACTTCGCTATGCTGCAGCTCCTCTACGTGGTGCTAGGACCAAATGCACAAACACGCTAAGAAAGTGAGTTCCTGATCTGCACTTCCGAAACTGGAAGAGTCCCAAGGCAAAACGCCTTGAACTACTTTATACCCTCTAAGGTCCTAACTAACACTACGCTACCCTCTAGGGCGCGAGCCGCAACAGATCCTACACCTAAGGAGTCGGCGGCTGCCTTCCCCTCTAACTTACAACCTAAATCTAACCCTAACCCTAAATCTGAATCCTAAGCCTACTGTACAGAACCGCCAGTGTCTTTACATCCAAGATCTGAGGCTGAATATTTGCAGGCATGCGTGGCCGACTGAGATCAACGGCTCCACCAAATTTCAGATCCATCCGACCATCCATCGCAAAGATATGGACTCCGCAAGATCTCTGAACCGCATCCGGTTCGCCGACCTCAAGTTTGCCGACACCGAGTTCTCCAACCTCGAGTTCGCCGAAGGCGTTGACCGCCGAAGACGCACTTCCGCACCTTTGCCTATTTGTAACAGTCACTCCCGACACCCATAACTCACAGATCCTTGATCCGTTTCAAGAGTTCTTGGGCTCGTTGGAACGAGCGCGTTGAGCTCTTTCTAACGAGACCCCAACTGAGTCAAACCGTTACGAGTTGAAAGAGTAATGCCGGTTTTATCCTTCGCCGAAGGCACACTGTCGAAGGCTTGTTATCTGTTATCGCCGAAGGCGCCCGCACGATGTTTCGCCGACTCCGAGTTCTCCGACCTCGAGTTCGCCGACCCCGAGTTTTCCGACCTCGAGTTTGCCGACCCCGAGTTCGCCAACTCCGAGTTCTCCGACCTCGAGTTCGCCGACCCCGAGTTCGCCAACTCCGAGTTCTCCGACCTCGAGTTCGCCGACCCCGAGTTCTCCGACCTCGAGTTCGCCGACTTGAAGTTGACCCGAAGACGTCCGTCGCCGAAGGCGAACATCTAGGGCCGAAGGCGGATATTCTGCCGACGACGAACTCCTTCTGCCTATCCGTAGGCGTTCTCCTTCGCATCTTCCGACAGTCACAACTCCCTGAGTCGTCATCCGTTCCAGGCGTTCTTGGGCTCGTTAGAACCAGAGCGTCAAGTTCTTTCCAACGAGACCCTAAGTAACTCAAGGCGTTAAGAATTGAGTAAGTTATGAGTGATCTACCGCCGAAGGTGCTTGAAGCGAGTCCTGCAGCGTGAACCGCCCGTTCCATTCCAAGCGTTCCACTGTGGCCTAAGCCCAAAACCCCTTGACTGTCCTCGATCCTCTTTTTACTCTGGCTTTGCGTTCCGATTACTATTTACAGCTGCTACCACGGTACTTACTAATCAAAAATGTTTTAGTTCCGGCAAAAAACAAAAAGGGGGTTACCAGAATATTTCAGGTATGTTAAATGAAAAATTTCAATTATTGTATAATTTTTAATTTCTGTATCATCGCAATTGATTAAATATGACATATATAAGGAAAAAAATAAATTCATAGATAAAAGAAAATATGAAAAAGAAATATATTACGTGAACTATCTAATTATTATCATTACAGCTTATCAAGCTGAAAATTTTAAAATTAACCAAGGACAATGGAAATAAACTAATTGTTTATGATTATAAAGTAATAAATTGAGTTTTTCAATAACATATATCAAAAGAAGCACATAATCTAAATTCATTTATTAGTGATTGTTACCATATGCATTTATCTCAGTTGAAATATAACATCGTCACAAAAAGCTAAATATGTTTTTTTAAAATGAGGTATGTCTTTCTTTCAATGAACAAAACCAATGAATTATTTTTTTAAATTCAAGCTTGATTCCTTATGTAGGGTTTAGTTAAAAAAAAATTTGAATGTAGATGGAGTTTTGATGTGAATATATTAATGAAGAGAAAAAATTTGAGAGATAGATTATAAAAAAATTAATCATAATATGTATATTTATTAATATTATTATGATAATTTTGCTTCAAAAGCAAGGTATATATTCATCTACATTTTCATCACACTTGATCTTGAAATGATTTAAAAGAAATGAATGTTATATGAATATAACTTTCAAAGATAAATATTTGAAGAAAAAATACAGATGAATTTTTAATAAATAAAGATAGATAAGTTTCTAGGTGTGCATATAAAACTACATATTTTTCACACAATATTAATAAATAAAATACGATTTGTAAATAAAGTAAGGCTAAACTTTTCTTTGAATTATGCTGAATCGGAGGAAGATAACATTCAACTTGGATGAAAATAAATTGATGTGATAAAAGTATGCATCATAATAAATATTTTTTTATTGATATTTTCAAAGTAACAAATATAATCTAGAATTCATATATGAAAACATCTTTTAATAAATTGCATTGTATATATCTATGTCAGGCAAATAAAGCGGCTATTAAAGCTATGCTCATAAATTACGTAGGTGATTTTGCATTAGCTCTCGGGGCAAATCTTGCACTTTATCTTCTCTTATCATAACCACAGAATATTATATGACATTGTTTAACAAATTATTTTTATTGCAATCAAAATTTTGAACAATATTGGATGACAAAGGATTAGTTACTTTGATCTTCACACATGATTCCTTTTTGACGTGGCCTCTTTTGTCACATTTCCAACACATCATCGTCATATTATCTAGGACTTTATCTCTCAACTTAAATGTACATTTTGATCTAAAATGCTTGCCATCCTTATCATTTTGTTAAAATATGATTGATATACTGTCAGATTTAGTGCCGTACTAGAAGAAAATGATGGAGAATATGATAATATCATTTTTTGTTATAAGTCATCGATCAACAAATTACTTACAATTTTGTTGTAAATGATTGTTTGACTATCACAATGAAGCAAGACATGTTACTAAAACGTATATGAACTAATCAAAAAATTCAAGAGATGAAACATTTTTCTTTTATTGGTTTTTTTATCCATGACTATAAAGATAGATTACAAGATCACCAAATGATGAGAAGCTTTTTTGTCATTAGTTTTTTTTCCCATGATTATAAAGATTGATGACAAGAACACCAAATGATGAAAAGCTTTTATGTCATTAGTTTTTTTTCCATGATTATGAAAATCTATGACAAGATCACCAAATGAATCAATGTGATCTTAGATCTTTGTGCCAAAACTTTTCATCTTGAAGTTCATTTTTTTAGTTCTTTGCGATGAAGTTATTGCTCAGTAGCCTTAAACAACAAATTACATTTTTCATATTCATCCATTTGATTCAAAACCAAAGATTTATAAATGCAATACGAAAATACTCACAACTTGCTCCTTTAGATCTCATCATGTTTCATTCTTGGAAATGGACGGTTTCAATCTCAATAACTTGTTTCTCCCAAACAAATAATCAACGGCTACGTCATATTTGACTATGTTATATCTTGCTTACTCAGATTTAATGGCCGTCATTTATTACATTGTGCATGTCTTCCGTCTGCATCAGCAACACCTCTATATTATCTTTCAATCTATCCGTCATTCAAATGCTAAAGAAATTTTGCAATTGTTATTCTATCATCTATTTGAGTTGTGTTCCGCAGCCAGTAGCTACAAAATCATGAATTGCACATCAATATGTTTAAATTCATGACATTGCTTTCATATCCTTGCGTCTACAAATTATAGTCTTCATTGTTGACTATCAGAAATGAGTTACGAGACAATGGATAACATGCAGCTTTTTGATTTATCTTTTCACACTGCATGTATTGAATGCAGAGTTTTCAAAGGGAAGCAAGAACTTTCCCAATACGAATGATCCAAGCACAAGAAATCAATTTTTGAGAAACCATAGCACAAACAATCAAAACTTGAATACTCAAATTAAATTTTGAACATTCAATTTCCTCAACAATGTGAAAAAAAGGTGAAAAAAGCCTACGGATCAAGTTTTCCAAATTTGATTTTCCAAAGCCAAAGCACAAGAAGCCGAAATACAAAAACGTAATTGAAGCATCCAAAATTTGAGCTTTCATTTATCACGACATGTTCAAGTATAAGAAGACAAAGTACAAGAAGGTGAAATTCAAAATAACCATATGGCGCGGCAGATCTACGGCGCGAACTAAAGCTCTTAGTATTATAATACCTTTTGGTGTTATTTTCATTGCGAGTTGCCACATAGTTATTCACACAAATCTTATTGTTGTTAGTGAAAACCGAGAAGAACAGTGCTTGTTTATGCAACACCTTGCTTGTCTACCACAACAAACTATAGCTCCTAGATATAAAAGTGCACTCCTAGTCGCTGGCCTTAAACTCAATCACCGCTCATAACAATAATGTCTGCAGAAAATGTCAATCTGCATGTGGATTCAAAATAACAAGTGGATCTGGAGGTTTTGATTTTGCATTTTCTACGGGTCGGCTTTCAGTTGATGACTGCGGCTTGTAGTCTCTGGTTTTGATGACGGACTCCGATTTACTCGACGTCTATGTGATATCCAACATCTTTTCATTACCTGAAGACATTCCACTGTCGGTACGTGCGAACGATAAGAGCAAGGGGCAGAAAACACCGATGAAAATGACTCATTTTGTAGAAGAATGAAAATTTTCCATAAGATTTATGTTGCGAAAGTTGTCATTGTAGGGTTGGGGTTCAAGCGGTAGCTTAACCAGATTCATTCATCCGATTGCGCCTCTCACAACATACTGTAAGATACTGCTAAACTCAAGTTCTAATCTGCAGTTTTGATACCCTCATCAATCAGTGCTACCCCTGTATTTGTTTGTCTGTGAAACTATCATCACGACTCTCCGTTAATCAACAATAATCGAAAAGCCTGAACGAAGGTTGTAAATAGCTGTCAAACTACTCTTTTCAGACCAAAGAGTCAGTGTTTCAGAAAGCATGATATCGTGTCGTCGAATTCATCGAAGAAATCCAAGATATCTCTTCTTCTTTCCAACTTAGTGAATGGAAGAGTATGGTCATACACACGACTTTCCATCGCAGAAGATGATGATGCCGTTGAGTGACAGCCAGGAGCTCAAAACTTTCAGCTGGTTTGAAGGAAGGCTGGAAAAGGTCGAGAAACATGTTTGGTGATCCTGTTTCGTTCGTTCATTCTCAGAAGTCCACCAGGTGGTGTGGCTTTTTCGTTGCATTGTGTACGATAACAAGAGAATGTGTGGAAATCCAAGATTACAAGTAACGGGCTATACTGCGATTTCAGGATAATTGATTGCTCTTTGAGAAACCACGAAAGGATCTCGTTCAAGTCATTGCCAAAATTTGTTCAGGAGTTGGTTTGAGAGCAATTTATTCGAACCTCTCCTTGGGTGGCCCACTGAATGCTGCCCATTCGGACCATGGCCGCTGCAAAATCGCTGAAAAAGGATGAACCTGGTTGAGAGTATTTGGTGACAAGGTCGAGTCCTACTGGACTGTTCAGAAGTTGTGCGTCTGATCCAAGGAGTCCTCTCTTGGCCAAAACCGAAGTGAAGTACAGGTGGTCGAATGTGTTCTTCGTTGGATCCATGGGAAGGAAGTTTCCCGGCTGGACGCCGTGCGGACACTTCTTCTTGAGTTCTTTCACCAGTTTTTTGTCCATCGATGGATCTGTCGAGTTTGTAACTCCGTTGAAATCATACAGACGAGATAAAACTGACCCACATTGAGCCCGACCGATAGTATGTGCTCCTGTAGGAAAGAGCACGCGCCTCGAAAGTTAGTTCAATCGGGTGGTCATTCGCGTTTCACATGTGAGTGCAAGATTTGAATCAGCAACTTTGCTCACCGGAGAGAGCGACCATATCCTGCTCACTCAAACCAACCGCAGCAAAACTCGCTGCTAGCTGCGCGTAGCTCATGAATGGTGCAGGCAGTTTATCTGCCTCTGCTTGTAGAGATACGAATCCATCCTTCCGACCCAGAGCAACCGACCAGCTGGGCCCCCCTGCCTGCACAGTGTTCCAGTCAGTAAACAAGTACTTGTGATCTTCTCAGGAAATCAAATGATGCTGCCTTGGAGGGCACAAAAGGCGCAATCTGAACATGAACAGAGAGAGAGAGCATACTTTGACAGTCGCATCGCGAGCTGTAAGTGCCAGAATATCTGCGCATGAAACAATGCCGGGGCAAGACGATTCCAATGCGGCCTTGATTTCGTCGATCTCCTCGAATCCTCTGAGAGAGTTTTTGTTCGAAATAGAGTCCTTCTCTGCCGTATTGAAGGGTGAGCTGAGGAGCACGGATGCATCACATCCCTGCACAGAGTTGACATCACATCCTGTCAGGAGACATTTCACTCTACTGAAGCTCGAATATACTCAATGCGGGCGTTTGTCTGCAAGTCCACGACAATTAAGTGGCACTTGCATGCAATTATGCACCGGCCCAATCAGGGACTGTGATGGAGACATGTCCACAGAGCTACATGTCAAAATCAGAATTTCCAAGCAGTTTTTTTCAGTTGGACCGGACGCCACCACGTTTCCAGACGTCCGGTGGTTTAGATTCCTGTGAGATCTGTGTTCATTGGACGGGCTTAAATCTTCAGCACAATCAGAGAAGAAGTGCATTTGATGAAAATGAGCGAATGAGGCGTGAGCCTGCTGATTCTGGTGGATCTGTGCAACATCGGTTGTTTACCCGCACGAAGCAATCATGAAAATGTAAGCGTTGAAGGGCTCCTGCAAGATTCCGGTTTTGCTTCACAAAGCCAGTGACCATGTTACGGACGATCGTAGTTGCCTCGGGGCAGGTACTCGAGTAGTAATTCTCGGCATCTGAAGCTGTGCTCGGGACAGCTGTCACGGCAAGCAGTCCCGCCATGGAAATCGCGCTCCATATCCACCGACAGATCGTCGTTGTCATGCCCCACATATGCCCCACGTTTGCCCCGCCCCACCCCGGTCGCCAAAGGTGTTCAGTCAGAGCTCATCACCGAGCTGATTCCCGACCTTTCTTCGCATGCTTCTGCGCCGCGAGCAATCATGCGGAATCTTCAGCAAGTCCAAATCGGTTCGAATCTCTGCGTCCGAACTGCGATCCAAGATCATTCTCATGCATTCCTCTTATTCGTCTCTGCATTTTCCTCTTCCCCTGATTCGGGCGTACCAAGTCCGATTCCCAATCCTGGACTCCCCGCCCCACTCGTCGTGTCGGGTACTGACCCCGAATGACTCTATTTACCACGACCGAATCGAAGCGCACATGAGCGCCATGGAGTCCGAGGTCTCGGGAACGTGAGGGACGAAGCTCGAAGGAGCATCTGCATGAGCGTGTAGGAACTCAGCCAACTCGTGAAGGTGAAGACATCAGAATCCGAGTCCATGCGCGACAAGAAATCAGCAGCTACACGAGCTGGCGTATTGCCAAGTAATTACGAGCGCCTGTCTACAGATCGTGTACACTGAGCGTGTGAGGCCCTTCATTTGCGCCATCGTAGCAACAAACTTGTCGTTGCAAACGGCCTCGCCGACATACGTACTGCTCACGTTCATTTCGCGGCTCGGTATGTGGACCTGTCGTGAGCTGGCTCCTCCCTCGTTCGCAGTTCGGTGAGCTGGCTCGTCGCTCGTTCAGAAGGTACTTGTGAACACTCGGTTACGTCTGAGAAAGCTCGTCATCCGTGGGACGAGCACCTTCGACTCGAGTCTGTTAGAGTCGAGGGACTAATCTGATCCAAGTATCGAAAGATGGGCTGGACTGCGCAGCCATGTAGGAAGTCATTGGATTAACCTGTTGGAATCGTTCCGCCTGCTTCTGCTTTTGCTTCGCACCGATTCGAGTGGAAGTCGTTGCTAGTTTAGTCTGAATCGACTGGCGACCAACACCTCGACCGCGGTCACTCACGACGATCAGTTTTCAGGATTTCCATTCGTATCGTGACATGTGAGTGAGTGACTGAGGTAGTAAGACTCTGAAATGAGGTACGTGTAGACTTATCGAGACGATCTTACTCCGATCTCAGGTCGCATAGAGTGCGCTATTACACAGACCAAGTAGGATCATCTCGATCTTCTAAATGTTACATTTCTCACACCAAGACGCACCCGAGCTTCTCTTCTCGCTTCTCATGTCCGAGCCGGAGCCTAATCATGGAGTTTTGTAAGACTTATGAAAGGTCTGTTGCAATCCGGGGCAAATTTTCATTTAAGCGCTGAAATCAAAACGAGTCTTTGCAACAGCCAATCAAAATTCACATGCTACCCCATGCTTCCATGGCTTCGGTTCAGTTCAGCTCTGCTCAGCTCACGTGTTTAGGATCGAGCATAATCGGCTGCGAGGAGCTGTTGGTTCGAAAAATGTTCGAAAGACTGCGAGATGACGGGTAAGGGAAATGAGGAACCTCTGACTGTTGACGTTCTTCGATTGCGATATGGTTCCAGCCAACTCCGCATTTGCCTTCTACACTTCATTTCCTCTCTTGTCTGACCATACAAAGCTACCCTGGCCCAGCAGCAACGGGGATGGCATGCCTCGCGTTGCAGAGACAGCGAGCTGACTTCCGAATTCAGCTTTTGCTTTTGCTCGTAGAGGGTTCTGGTCACTTGAGGCGTTAGGTTTTTGTCGCAAAGATCGGGGTCTCAGTGCACAGGTCACTTCCCAAAAGGTGTCGATGTGAATTGTCTCAAATCTCGAAGCAACCACGGAGCTTCCTCGATTTCGACACATCGTTGCCGTGATTTCGAGCTGCGTGCTCGATGAGGAAGTTACAAAGCTCTAGAACCCCTAAATTCGTCTCACCCGGCTGCAGCCGGGACGACAGACGAGGGAAGCATATCGGCGATGCGGGCTCTTGCTAATCTCGCCACTGGCAAGAAAAGCTGTCGGAGTATGGGGCTATTCGGCGTCAATTGAATAGAAGCTTATGTTTCGAAACCACTTCAAACCTCGCCCATGGAGGTGGCCATTCTGTCAAGAAGTCTGGAGCTTGCGGGATTCATGTTCACACCGCCATTTCCGGAGTCCAGATCTGTCGCTTTGGCTGCCGTTGTTCGTTTCCTCCGGTGCATGAGCTTTTCTGCCGATGCGTTCCGGTTCTTGCTGCTAAACCCGTTTTTCTTGGGATGGCGTAGTGGGGCATGGGGCTCTTGCGGCAGAGCTCGCTCGGTCGTCGACGAGTCTTGCAGCGTGATCGCTGCAAGCTGTGACTCACTGTGCGTATAGTCGAATTTCAGGCCGATCGATGCGGGATGGAGGGGGCGGGGGCTCTGCCAAATGTCCATATTTTCCACCTCGCGATTTTCATCTATTTAGTGTGACCCAGGTCAGTTCTTGCTCCGATGCATTCCACGAACGTCGAAATCACCGACGAAACTCCAAATTTCTGATGCAGAGAATGTTTCTGGAGATCTTTCTCTGAGCTTGTCACTCTATCTATCGGATCTATTGATGACTCTGTAGGAATTTCACTTCGGTCATTGGACAGATCGACTTTCTGGTCGGTTTTGAATGACCTCAAGATCAGTTCATCTCTGTCTGTCTGTCAGTCTGTAGCTTTGAAAACGTGCAATGTGAAGGAGAGATGCTTCAAGCGATGCATCCAAGTCCAGTCTCTAACTGGTCAGATCACCAATCTTTGAGATCAAAGATGGCTGATTAGAGTTTTGACCTTTCTGAAGACCAACGTGCTCGGTAGCGCGGAATCTCTTAATCTACTGCTGCGAACAATCTCATTGAACTGACGCCTCTCATAGCAATGCGATGCGTATCATACCGCTTACTCTCCACGTATATTTGCTGTTATCGGTCGCTGACAAGAAATGTCGAATGCATTTTTCTTTCCTGTCACATGAAACTCACTTCATACCTTCATCTCCGAGAAAGTACGACGAGACATCTATTCGCCACCAGACTGTGCGACAGCCTTCCACCGGTGGTGAGATTCGTTCAGACCTCATTCAGACTGTTCCTAAGCTCGAATATGCTACTTATGGCAACGCGCACGTTTCGTGCACCTTTCAGCTTCGTTCCAGTAGACTGATAATTCGTGTAAGTTAGCGCAATGTCTAGCATCTGAATCGTCGTTGAACCTGTATACTACGTAGAGGAGCCGAGAATCATGAGAGGACCCCAATAAAGATAAGGAAGTAACCCATCGGCTCTATCGTTCACAATGCTAACTCACGGTCAGCTGGTCGGTCCTTCAACTCAAACCTCACAGTAGTCTTCCAATACTCGCACTCGACGACCAGAAGTGACGTCGTCTCTACTGAGCGAAGATTACGTAACGTGATTCCGATTTTACGCGTGGGATTGTCTGAGTCCTGGTCCTTGATCGTACGAGTCAAGCTCAGTTAAATGTTTTGGATAGTCGAAAGTCTTTGATATAATAGGATGAAATGACAAAACAAATGCCCATGTGTTCTGGCGGATTGTGAATTTGAGATTTTGCGAAGGCGTTCTGGTCACTGCAGAGATCTCAGACTTCTCTGTTCTGCCATCAGCTTCACAACCGAGTCGCCCTACAAACCAGTGGGAAATAGTACTAAATGTCATGACATGACTTCTCACATTGACATTCGTTCATTCAAGACTGGAAGGCCTTGAGATCAATTTGATGATACGTGACTCACACGTGTTAGCGACTGTAAGCGGAAAAGTTTACAACAGCCAGCAGCTGCGATTAGCTGTTGGCTGTTGGCTGTAATATTCACTTCCAACAGTCAAAAGCAGCTGACAGTCGCTGGAGAGCCAACATCTTGCTATTCTCACCAACCAGCGAACAACCATGTGGAATTAGAGTTTTTGAACTGCGGGATCCAGGCCCTTTTGTCTAGACTGCAGAGAATGTTACAAGGTACACAAACAGCACTTTTTCCACGTGTTGTACACGAGGACATGGAGACCACGAGCTTCTTTCGGCATTCGTCGATAGATTTGTTTGTCCTTTTCGACCTTGAGTTATTGAGGCTTTTTGACTCCTGAGCATAAACAATGAACGAGCAGAAGCACACGGAAGAAGGTCCATCCTTCAAATGAGGACCATCTGAAGTAGACATTCGTTTTGACCATGACTAACAATTATTCTATTGTTTAATCCATGATCATTGTTTGTTTGAAACAAACAATGATCATGGATTGGACGAGAAATAATTTGTTTCTCGTCTCGTCAGTTTATCGTCACGGAAAACGAGAAACAAACAATGATCTCGTTTTCCGTGACGATAAGTTGCCACTGTTTACAAGACGTATTGGGAGGGAATCCAAATGACTAAAACCATATGTAGATCATTTGGAGTAAGTAATCTACACTTGAACCAAGAGGATGGATCTCTACAGTGCTAAATTTATTAGAGCATTGCACCACGTGAAATCTGGTTCGCGTTGCCATTTCAGATAGTCTTGTTCCCATTCACACTCCTCGCAGACGTTAGGATAAGCTCCGTGAGAGTTGAGACTTGCACAGAGCTCACCTTTTTGGACGTAAGTCGAATGGAGATAGATAACGAGGATTCGAACCACCAATGAAGTTGTAATAGTGGGTCTGTGAAAGAAAATTAAACTGCGCGCACTTGCAAGGCGAAGAATGTATTTATCGTCATGCATGCATGAACTGTCATATATGTGGGGGGTTTTCCGACGATGGAAGATCTAAATTTAGGAACAAGACCCTTGGAGATTCCTTAAAATGCCGCATAAGCCAAATGACAAATAGCTGTAATTTTCACGTTTATGGCTATTCCTCGACAGGTAAACATTTCCGACGCTCAAATATCAAATCTGATCCAGGTCGGAATATTGTGTTCTGGAACTTGCTATACTAAGTCTGCTGAAACTTTTCCACAGCATGCGCTCTCTTGCTTTTCCATGGCGATTGTACAAACGGCCACTACATCACAAAATACCACTCATGTACTAAAGTCACTCTTGAAATTTCGCCAACTGCTGTGTTGCGCTCTTGTGTCCTGTTACAAGCTTTTTCCTCGAATCCCCTGAACGTAGTTCTCCGGTGATACTCAATCTGCTTACTTGAATGTTCGTGTCCTTGCTTCCAAATCACTTCGAATGTGCCCGAATTTCTATGTACCATTGGTTTTAAATATTGCTGGTCCAGAAATGTACCTCCGCGTCAGGTTCTTAGGACAGCCCAACAGCAGCCCAGACGGTGCCCTACTTGAAGAGAGATGCTTGCTTCACCTCAGATCGGATGACTGCCGAGAGTCATCAAGCATCTGCAAACAACGTCCTGTGAGAAATCAGATTCGAGGAATCCATTCCTGCTCACGTGCAAAATATGCAGCATGCAGGCGAGAATCCTCGTGATACAGAAACCGTACGTGCAGCCAGGCCGCAGCAGCCGCAGGAGCTATAAGAAGAGCTCATGCCTGAGGTCCCCATCATCATCCCACATCATGTTCCAGATGGCAAAGACATCAGATCCAGACACACGAACTAAAGAAGGAACGAACGAGGAAATAAGCGCCATGCAGATCAGACGCTGAAACCCAATGAGTCCGAACGTACCTGGAGCGAGCGAGGCTGGATCAGAATGCTCCTCATGAAGCCGTCAGGAGCTTTCCGGGCCATGGCTTGAGCCTCGCCGTCTAGGTGCATGGGGTCGAGCAAATCGTTAAAGGGCCCGCAACCGAGCTCGGCGCTCGTCTCTCTTCTCTGCCCTTGGCAGGCTTGCAAACGGACACCGGAAGCATCGGAGTTTCCCCCGCTAAAACCTGCAGGACTTGGCGCATGGAGGGGCGATCATTCGGATTGCTGGCCGAGCAGACCAGCCCCAGCAACAGCACAGCCTGCATCTGCCCAAAATTGAACTGGCCCTGGAGCCGGGGATCGGCCACGCGCATCAGCTGGCCCTCCTTGAACGCCTTATCCACCCAGTCCTTGAGCACCGACTGCTCATTCGGCAGCAGAGGTTCCAGCGCGCCTCGCCCGCACGCGATCTCCAGCACCACAGCCCCGAAGGCGAACACGTCCGACTTCACCGTGAATTTGCCGAAGATGGCCGATTCGGGGGCCAGGTAGCCGAAGGTGCCCGCGGGGTTGGTGGTGGCCAAGCTCATCTGATGCGGATTCATGCGAGCGAGCCCGAAGTCGCCGAGCTTGGCGCAGAAGTGCGCATCGAGCATGATGTTGCTGGACTTGACGTCGCGGTGGATGACCTTGTGCCGCCAGCCCTCGTGCAGATGGTCCAGCGCGGCGGCGATGCCGAAGATGATCTTGAACCGCTGGCGCCACGACAGCCGACACGTCGGCCGCCGGAAAAGCGCCTTGTCCAGGCTCCCGTTGGGCATGTACTCGTACACGAGCATGAAATGGTGCTCGCGCCCGCACCAGCCCAGCAGCTGCACCACGTTCCGGTGGCGCACGCGGCTGATGGTGCGCACCTCGGCCAGGAACTCCTTGACCCCCTGGTCCGAGCCCTCATCCATCGTCTTGATGGCCACCACCGTCCCGGTTCCCGGCAGCACCCCGCGGTACACGCTCCCGAAACCCCCCGCGCCCAGCTTGTTCCTCAGATCGAACCCGCCCGTCGCCTCGCTCAGCTCCTGGTAGCTGAAGCTGCGCGGCGCGCCGAGCCCGTTGCGGATCGGCAGCGCGGGGGTCGCCCGGGGCACGGGGAGCACGGGGCGCCCGCTGGGCCGCGCGGGTTTGCTCGGGGCGGTGTCGATGGTCGAGCAGGCGCGATCTCTCCGGCTGATGATGAACGCCGCCACGAGGATTAACACGAAGACGAACATCCAAGGGCCGAGGATGGCGATAATTTGCTCGATTAGGGGCTCGGGGCTCGACGTTCGGCTGCTGGGCTTGTCCGACTCTTGAGACGCGACGCAATTTGCAGGTTCTGCAGATGTGTGATCGTGGTGGCATTCGAAATCAGGGGCAACTGGAATCAGGGGCGGTGCAAATAGCGATCGCGGCATGGTCGCATGCGCAGCCGTCACCCCTCTCAGGAATCGGATTGCAGATCGACCACGACACCAGCTCTGCAGCGTGAGAGAGGTCTGGCGGTGGATCTAATGCGGTGGAATGGAGCACCAGAGCGGGCGGTGATGTGCCGGAGACAATAACGCCATTTCTCGAGGATGATGACTTTCTGTCACGGGAGGCGTTGCTCTCTCGCGTTCGATGAACTGCACGAACATCTTCGCGAGAATCGGAGCGCGGAACGTCGGACCTCGATCACGGTCTCGTCGGTCCCATGCGTGTTATAGTTCTCGTCTCACTCCCGGCCCTGCTTCTCTGTACTGACGACGCAGCGACGGCAGGGCAGCCGCCTCGAGTATGCTCAGATCAGCGGACGAAATCCGGTCAAATTGCGGATGGTTCTCTCGTCTGCATTGAGCCTCTTGGCAGTATCTAGCCGAGCTCTTCAGAAATCGCCTCTTCTGTAGAATCTGGTCAATGTCAGTCATAAGATTCTCGTACGACTTTTGAAAAGCCGAGAATATTATGCGGAGAAGTCAATGACCTGCCATCATGAATTCACTGTTTCTGTCTTGCTCGCTCTTAGGACCAGCGTAGAGATCATAGGAGCTTCGATCTTCAAGTCTGCGAAGCGAAGCGGCTGGTTTCAGTCAACATCTTAGAGGCCAGGACGGTACGCTGGTTGCTAGTCTCTTGGGTACTGGGAATTGTATCTTCGCTCGACCGGAAGAGACCGCTGGAGGGTCTCGTCAAAATCCTGGCACCAACAAAATCCGATGAAACAAATCCTGTAGGAACGAGGGAACCAGCGCCAGGGGATTCAGGTCTTCACCAGTCAATTCTAAGATTCGTGTGACCTATAAGATTTTTGCCGAGTGTGAGTGATCGGTTCTCCCCCAAAGCTTTTGTGGTGAGTTACAGACACGAACGAAGTGCTAAATGAAGGTTTGTGCTGAAAGCAGTACGTAACCCAGCACTCGTGACAGTAAGAAATAGGAATTGGTCAACTTGGTGATCTGAGGGAAAGAAAGCCGTCCTGGGATGAGAATTATATACTATTAAGAAGGGGAGAGCCGGAATTCTCCAAATGTCAACGAATTTCATAGATTTATAATGGGCCGTGGATGATGCTGAGGTGATTCTGATAAGCACTTTTCTGAGGTAAGCTGCTAATGTCACGTATTGTCGGTCAAGTTTCATACCTGCTCTTCTCATTTCTTTGACTCTTCCAAGCGACATGAAAGTGAAAATCGCAGACTAAAGCCCAAATTATTTCCTCCTTATGCGAACAGAATGGAAATGTGCCGCACGTAGATCAGTCTCATCGACGCGGGATGTAGATCACTCGAGGAACGAAGTTTGCCGTGTATAAAAATGGGACGAGCTCTCGGTACCGTATGGAACTACTGGGACCTTCAGTCTTTAGGAGTACATCTGAAAGTGGAGGCCCTCTGGCACATCAAAAGATCTTGTGCTGAAGAAGTCGGTTGATGACCTGTAGATTAGGGCACTCAAATTCTACGTATTCGAAATGTCTATTCGGTCTGAAATTCCGAAAAGAATTGAACAAATTTGGATAGGCTTATCACTGTGTCTCTGCATGTCTATCTTTCTCTTGAGAATCTGATTCACGACTAAGAGACAACTGCATTTTCATGAGGTGGAAACAGACTTCGACTGAGGAGAATTGTCTAATCATAGTTACAATGACGCTCTATTTTCTACTTTTGTTCGTGTGCCTATCGTGTTCGTGTTTCAAAGGATGGTCTCTGCTCTTGGTTTCTGATTATCCTGTCAGAACTGACATAATACAACTTGTGTTTAAAATTGTGGAGAAAGTAGGCTATGATTTTAGAATTGTCGACAGTCTGAAACTACTAAACAAAAAATGAACTGCGTTTGAGCGTCAATGTCTCTCTGCATGTTTATTAGTCCCTCGACAAATTGATGCACGACCGAGTGACAATTCCAGTATGTGGAAGAGTCTAGCGATATTTATCTTATCATAGTTGGAATGACTCTCTAATTTTGACATTCGTTCTTGTATCTGCTGTACCTCGAAGAGTAGTATCGGATTTTCTGGGGGAATTGATACATCTCCACTTCTGGTTATTTTTTAGGAAAGAACAGGCTATGAAAGTAAAAATCAAACGAACCGAACCCTGACTTCCATAAACTGTCTTGTACATCAGGGTGGGGCTGGGCATCTGATTTAAGTCCTACCAAAAGGACTTTATAATGCTCATTTTACAAGCCGGATCAGGCAGCGATGTTAATTTTGGTAATCAAATATCTCACAAAAGCTTACTGTTAAATCTTTACTTCCCGAAGACGACGTTTAACAATCAAGAATTAAATAAATTGTGGTGCTGGTACAAGGGCTCATGAATTTTAATGATTTGTCAGTTACTACCTCACATCGCTTGATATTGACCTTTAAAAGGCTAGGAGGCAGTTTTATGAATTCATTGTTTGTACAGTAGTTGTAGACTCTCCTAACCACGGTAACCTAACGTCCCATGAGCACAACTCCTGACAAGAAATAACTGGTACAGTACAAGCGTCTACTCAGGACTGGAGAAAAATGCAGATGAAGCTACGAGCTATCTGATTTGAGTTATTCTCACTTTCTATGATTATGAAAACAATTAAGCTAAATTCAGTAGAATAAAAAAGACGTCGCGAGCTTCAAGTACTTTAAATTCTGAAGAAACAAATGGAGCTCATATGACTATTGGAACGCCAGAGAGCAACTCAGCAACAGAATAAGAAGATTGCTGGCTACTGCCTCTGTTGCCTCACAGGAAGCAATCCATAGCCGCTGTCTATGAAGCATCTGTTCTAAGTAAGCGCTGTTTTGAATCAGTGTGTAGTCTGTCAGTACTGATTCCTGCAAGCAATGATAGTATTTCATTACTTGCAAGTGTCTCCGAGCGGAAGGATTTGATCACTAGCAGTTTGAAACTGGACTGCATTTGCGACGCAACCAGAATGTAAACAAATAAGCAGACTTTATTTTGAAACAATGTGCATGACACTGATGTTGACTCTGTCAGCGTCATATGAGTGTACAGGTATACATCTGCATTTACGTCCAGCTCTGCAAGACTTCCAACACCGTAGATCTCGATCATCGCAAGCTTCCACGGCGTCTGCATCTAGAGCTCAACTAGCTAAATATATAGAAAAAAGATTACATGTTGTGCTATGTCATGCTGACTATAAATGGCTATACCGCAGGCCTTGTATGGGCTTCAGTATTCTTCTCTACGGCTTTTTCAAGCGCACCATCATGATTCATAATTGAGAAATGGCTTCATGATGGAGCAAGAAGGCAGTGAATGCCCCAACAAGCTGCACTTGCAGAAGTTCTACCGATAAAAAACCTTCCTCCTATTGATTCGCCAGGTCAACGTCCTTCCTTCTGAAAGTTCCATGAGGTCTGTAAAATTATTGCAAGACGTGGCAATTCAGTGCTAAGAGGAAAAACTTAAGCAGAACACACAAATCAGCATCTAAACACTGCAGATATACTTCTCGATGTCCAAAGTTACAGAAACAGTATGGCAGACTGAAGGCTCTCTTCTGTGCTGTCTTTCCTAAAGAGGTTCTTCTCTTGTTTCCTTTCCAGACAGCAATCAGAATAAGTTTGATCGAGCCACAAAACATTACATATTATGATATTACCTTTCGCGTTGAGGAGGCATGGCGAGCTTTGACGGAAGAGTTCCTAGTAATATCCTCCGTAATATGGAGGAGGAGGAGACTTCACTGGTGGGGGAGGGGACTTCACAACCACCGGAGGTGGTGGGGACTTTGCCGGAGGTGGAGGGGATTTCGGTACGTAGGGAGGAGGGGGAGATTTCACTGGAGGGGGAGGAGACTTGACAACGACTGGAGGTGGTGGAGATTTCACTGGAGGGGGTGGTGATTTGACAACAACGGGAGGAGGAGGAGATTTCACTGGAGGGGGTGGTGATTTGACAACAACGGGAGGAGGAGGAGATTTCACTGGAGGGGGAGGAGACTTCACAACGACTGGAGGAGGAGGAGATTTCACTGGAGGGGGAGGGGACTTCACAACGACTGGAGGAGGAGGAGATTTCACTGGAGGGGGAGGTGACTTCACTACGACTGGAGGAGGAGGAGATTTCCTTGGAGGTGGTGGGGACTTGACAACTACGGGGGGAGGAGGAGATTTCTTTGGAGGTGGTGGGGACTTGGGAGTGCAAGGCTTGCTGCCATAGTAATCCTTTCCGCCGCCGTAGTAACCCTTTCCGCCGCCATAGTAACCCTTGCGGTTGCGATCGTAATAACAGTCATCGCCGTTGTCATGACCGTCTTTGCCGCCGTTACCATCCTTGCCGTCGTGACCGTCTTTGCCGCCGTAGCCATCCTTTCCGTCGTGACCGTCTTTGCCGCCGTTACCGTCTTTGCCGCCGGAGCCATCCTTTCCGTCGTGACCGTCTTTGCCTCCGTAGCCATCTTTGCCGCCGTTACCGTCTTTGCCTCCGTAGCCATCTTTGCCGCCGTTACCATCTTTGCCGCCGTAGCCATCTTTGCCGCCGTTACCGTCTTTGCCTCCGTAGCCATCTTTGCCGCCGTTACCATCTTTGCCTCCGTAGCCATCTTTGCCGCCGTTACCGTCTTTTCCGCCGTAGCCATCCTTGCCGTCGTTACCATCTTTGCCGCCGTAGCCATCCTTGCCGTCGTTACCATCTTTTCCGCCGTAGCCATCTTTGCCGCCGTTACCGTCTTTTCCGCCGTAGCCATCCTTGCCGTCGTTACCATCTTTGCCGCCGTAGCCATCCTTGCCGTCGTTACCATCTTTTCCGCCGTAACCATCTTTGCCGCCGTAGCCGTCCTTGCCATCGTTACCATCTTTTCCGCCGTAGCCATCCTTGCCATCGTTACCGTCTTTGCCGCCGTAGCCATCCTTGCCGTCGTTACCATCTTTTCCGCCGTAGCCGTCCTTGCCGCCGTAGCCAGAATCGCCCTTGGAGCCCTTGGAGTAGCCGCCGCCTCCTGTCAAAAGCTGAAACTGCTCAGACACATCGGATGTAGCTTCCACCGAAGCCCACAGCTGAAGTGCGATCACACTACCAACTGCTATCAGAAGCACCGCCCTAAATCCGGAGCGCCCCATCTCGATCGATGCTGTTGAAGACTCGAAAACGTTGAATTGGAACTGATTCCTTTGATGCTTTACAACAACAGAAGGACGTCATTTATACCTGCACTTCGATCGAAAAACGACACAGGCCCACGAGAGAAGGAATAAAGCCTTGAGTCAAGCCTAGGCTTCTGGGAAATCGATATGTAATTGCCATCGTAGTGGAGATGAAGTGCAACAACCGAGTTTCACATATGGCCACTTTCGAATGGTACGTGACTCATGAAGCTTCTGTCCTTCACAGATCCCTGTTGTACCGTCGTCTCCTTTATCGTACATATTGTCCGCAATCACTGTTAACAAGCTCAATCATATCATCAACAGGTAGCACAACAGTATGTCGTGCGCTGGGAGTAAATGATCATGATCCAGTCGCCAAGGTGAAACAATGTGGTGAGCGAGAGGGTAACGCTGAAAGTTCTGTATACCTTCTGAGTCCGGAAGCTCTCAGAGAACATCAGAGTGACTACGCTGTCCACGAAAGAAAAACATGCAGATGAACATCGCGGATTCACTCCCACGCTACTTTCCTTCTGAGTAGACCTCACAAAACTAATGGTCAAGCTCAATCGGAAACAAATTCGGTGTGTTGGACCTGTCATCTGAAAATCCAGGGAAAGCATGCAGTTGATGTCGTTCATGTTACAAGAATCCTAAGAGCGGATGAAACAACAAGCCGGGACTCACATATCAATTCTGTTGAAATTAGTCTCATCCAGCTGTCTAGCCGCTTGAGCTATGCACACGCAACCCTGAGATATTAAGCTTCCAAATATTTGCTGACATCACTAGCTGACCATATATCTTCAGCATGCATCGTGTGATCACAACTGTCTGAAAAGGTTCCAAAACAATGATAGAAATTTTGTTCTGAAAGAAATTCTTTGCCATTTTTCTTACTAGATTTTCTGAAATTTTTGTAAGTTTCAAATGATTCTGTCAAGGTTCGTTTTATCAAATAAGTTACTCATAAGTACTCACCATCCATATCAGGTTTATCAAAAAACAGCTTGCTATGAATTAGATCTGCCCAACATTTCATGCAACGCAACAAAAAATTCAATAAGTTCGTAAAAGATTGATATCTCTGCTTCACTTTGCAACTAATGATCGCCCGTGTACGTTTCTCCTTCAAACAACTGAGTTTTATACGGGTTGAAATATAAAAAATGTAACTTTACGCTTTTGAATGGTATATATAATCTACCACAAAGACCAGCACTATCTCAGATATAAAGGAGAGAATTGCACAATTAGATCTATAGAAGCTTGAAAATTCCATTATTTGATAAAAATGAACTTGACATTCTAATGTTTATGTTGAATATACCTACCTATCCTCTAAAGTAGTGGATCTCTAAGTGAGGGAGTCCGCTCCTCTCCTGCTCTAGAAACTATTATTCTCTTTCATTAAAATCTTAAAGACTCCTTGTGTCATACTCAGTAACTCAGTTGTAACTCATTTTACTATGAGATCTCGCATCACGATTGCAACAATGGTTTTCAGGTAATGCACGTTCTCCTCTCCAACTGTCTCACAACACAAACGGACAAAATAACTAAGCTACAAACAAAACGACTCCCCACGTACGCATTCCCACACCATATCCATGTTTGTCTCTCTGTACCAATATGTCACTGCATGCAACTCTGTCTTTGAAATCCTAAAATTCCACTACGTGTTGTGAGCACATTATTTGAATAATTGATATGGAAGCTAGAACTACGTTGCTTGTTTTCCAAAAGATTTGGCAGTGTGTTTGTGATAGGTGGGTCTGTGACATCCTTCCCAGCCACTAAGGATAATTTTTTTGATTGATTGGCTTAAAGCCGTTTTGTATTTTCATCAGCAAGAATAGTAGAAGCACAAATACTGTTTTCTGTTTCTGTCAAATTTTATCTCTGCGCTAATTTTTATAATCAAAATGTCAAGCACTTACTATGAGAAATTATAATTTGCTTAATATGATAAACTTTTGACGTATTGCTAACATCATGCAATTATCCACAAATAGCAGACAGCTGGAGTTTTTTGTCATAAGTCTCTTCATTAATCTCACACTGAGCATAGCCCTGGTTAGATTCTCATCGAGTGAAGGATTTATCTCGCAACTTAGATATCACAAAAAGTAATAATTTCATAAGTCATTTTTCTCCTTTGATCCCAAGTCTACTTCCCACATCTCATGCAAGATAAACACTCAGTATATCAATATATAAATGATAATTCGTTCTTCTTAAGATATAGTTTGTGATTTTTCCAAATATCAAGCTCACACAATCTAAGTGTTTTCAGTATTCAGTATTCAATAATAGTGCCATTCGAGTTCATTACTACAGTCTTATGCAAGAAATTTCGGATAATTATGTTCATGAGTTTTAGGAAACAAGTTGAAGCATTGTTTAATATTAAATATAAATATTTTTTATTGATAGGATCCATACTGTAAGAACAGTTTCTTCCTGTTCATCACCTTTGACTATTCTAATTTGGTCATATACAATACATAATATATATCAATGCAATCCATATCCTATATGTATTCAGTCTTATGTTTAGGTCTTGTGTATTCTTCTTCAGCTCCTCTAATCTAATGACATCCACATATCAATTTGAGCATGGTGAAGTACAGATATCATACCAATCTATTTATAACTTCAGTCATGAAAATAAAGTGTATTTAATGTCTTTGAAATAACTTGTTAAGTTATCTAAAATTTCCTTGGACGCTTTTTTTGTAGAAAAAAGGAGAGTAAAGTAAGCCTTAAGAAATACTTTAGATGATACTTGTAAAATAATTCCCTGAGTTGCTTCATAAGCTAAATGAACTAGTCATTGTGATAAAAATAGATGCATCAAGAAATGACTTAGCTCTTTTTACCAGATCAATATGAAGACCAAAAGACCAAGGATGGTGTAAAGCATTCCAATAATCATACAAGAACAAATGTGCAAAAATTAACTTGTTGATATATTTTTCACTCCATCTTTCCGGTACACTGTGCAAAGTTAACTGGAAGAGGGCTATTCAAAAACTGGATTGGTAATCCTAGGGCATTTCCAGAAAATATCCATGCTTTTCCAGAAAATATTCGTTCATGAGACTGTTCTTCCACTGTTCTCGAACCTCCAACGCCTCCGTACAATGTCGACTTGTCCGTGTAGTAGCAATAAATTTTATGCCCTCCTCGGATACCAAGGATCTATCTATTCCTTAGTCAAAAGAAGGGACCTCCTCTTTTAATACATAGAATCCGTCAACTCTGTCAGTGTTGTGTTTGGACTAGGCTTGGCCACGGTCCGGTCCGGACTGGCGGTTAAGCGGTTAACCGTCCGTCCGGTTTTACCGGTCCCAGGGAAAGGTACATTTTTCGGCACATTTCCTGCATTTTTTAGGTACCAAGAAATGTTGATTAACAACCCAGCCCGAGTCAACTGTCGCTATCCTAATCTGTGCATAGTCTGCTAAAACCCAAGATGAAAGGATCGTTGTGGACTCCGTTCCATGCGAGAACAAAACGCCTCTCGAATAAAAGGAGAGGTCAGCAATGGTGGGAGCCAGTTGGTTTCCTCATCATTTTGGCGTAATCTATCATCCACTTTCTGCCATATTAGCTTCAAGCACCATATAATATCATTGAGGACAAATATTTGAAATTTTGGAAAAAGTTTGCTCCTACAAAATGGACCGTTAACCGGTCCACTTTTTTTATGAACCGGTTGACCGCTAACCGGACCGTGGCCAAGCCTAGTTTGGACCGTGGTTATGATACTTTTCTGTAAGTGGCCTCTGCTTGTGCATAAAATTTAAGGCGTAAGTGACGAGCCAAAGGCTACAGCTTGAATGAAAAAGGTAGCCGCCAGGAGAAAAAGGCGTGATGCGGCCGCATCGACTCGCTTAGAAAGCCTAAGCAGGCCAAAATAGTTAGCGTACTCGGTGGCCAGAATAAAAGGAGAGATAGTAGTCAACTCTCGTATAAATTATGATGTCACGTATGATGTATCTGACATGCAGATCTTCAGGAACGAAGTCTAGAAGTAGCTTCTTCACCAAAGTAGACGAGGGGGCAAACTTGATAACCAGAATGGATGGCAAGACCTATCGAGCCGTACAAGGATGAAGGTACTTCACAAAAGATCATGGCAGAGTTCGAATCCCGATGCAATAATGACATTGATTGACACTGTCTACAATACTGGAAACAATTGCGAAAACAATAACTATCAATGTGCACCGTCCTTTTGGCTATTTATTTCGCCGCCGACCCCGAAGCAGATTTCGGTCGTTCATGTCCGTGGGATGCATCGAAGTACAGATAAACGTGCTTCCTCAGCTGGCGCTGAGTGTGTGCGTTTGCACCAGCAAGTAGTACACTCAAGGCTTCTAAATCGCTCCTAGAAGTTTCTAAACATTGGACACGTCTGTCCTTGAAAACAAACCGACATTCGCAGCTGTGACCTTTCACGAACTCGCATGAGATACACGGGTTATCGTATTGTCTAATCTCGTCTTAATAATAGGCGAGACATCACTGTCGAGATAATTTTAGGCAGGATGGTGTTAGCACCCATGGCCTTTGGGATGACCATCAGTACCTAACGATTTCTGGTATTTACAGTGAACTGTACAAAGCAGGTCACCTGTCTTGGAACATGTTAGCGAAGCTGGAGGCACGATAGAATCGAGGTTCAATCTCTTTGAATTGAAATCCCTCCACCAGTCCCATGGAAAAGAATGTGCAGCATTTCTCGAAAGATTCTGGAGTGTGAAAGCTTGATTGACTTTGACATGTATCCGCTGTAAACAGAGTTCGTGCAAATCTCAACTTGGTGCAGCTGTCGGTGTTTGCATGCGAGATAGGATTACCAATGCAAGCTTGCAGACAATCGTAACTTCACGGACAAGTAGTATTGGAGCAGTTGAACTCGGAGATCATTCACCAACTTCTGGCCTGAGGGCGTTTCCATGCATGATGATTTTGGACGAGCTTATATCGGAAGTACGGCAAATCAAATCATTGTTCAAGTCAAAGGAATCTCGGTGGCTTGAAGCTGTCTCTTTGGTCACGCGAGATTCACAATACTGTTAAGCATTGAGTTAAGAAAGCCTAAATCAACTCGATCTCCGGCGTGCTTCAGAAAAATTGTCAAACTGTAATCCGAGAAAGCTGTACCCTCTACACACAAAGTTTTCAACTCCTTCAGAGCTGTCTTCCAATTTAGGAATTCGTCTTACTAGAGGTTCAAGGCAGGATGAAATCAGGAAGATGTGATAGCCCTTGCTACAGCGAGCAGATAGAGGTTACGCGCTCGAAGATGCACTCGTCATCCTCCGCTACAGCGCACAATTATAGCACACGAGTCCGGCATCTAGAAGGTTTTGACATTCCAGCTTTTGGACGGCTCAGTCGAGTACAAACTCGTGGCCGCGCTGTGCAACTATTGAGAGCACTTTCGTCTGGATTTCAAGAGAATCGAAGCAAGTGGTCTCGCCCAAAGTACAAAAGAGATATTGTGCGGACTCGGTCTTTGCAATCACGCGCGAGATCCGAAGCACGATGTGCTGCCTTTTCTGCCAAAATCTCGCCCCGTGATAAGTCACTTTGGTTCGGGCCACGTATGAGTGGACGTGTGGTGCGGTTCACGATAGCGAGCCACGCTAAAGATAGTCGGGCGAGCAGCACAAGCCGACTCTTGCAAGAGAAGGCGAGCTTCGCTCGGCCATGGCTCCAAATAAGGTGACAAGCAGCACGCTTCAGCCGTTGTAGCCGCAGACCTGAACATATAGACCAGAATTGATGATGGCCTTTAAGGATGTTCGGAGGCCTTTCAACTTGTCTGAGGGAAGAAGCAAGATCGACTACTGCTCACTCCAGAAAGCGAAGTCATTGATGTGCAGATGGCTAGCTAAAAGTCGGTTTGAGAGTTCAGCAGGCGACAACTCATTGATCCAGTTTCCACATTCCATTATTAGTTCTTCAATGAGTCCCGCAAATGCCTGTCATTGTTCTAAATCAACACTGTAAAGGTTTAAGACTAACACTTTCCACCTTAAAGAACTCTAAATGCACTGCTCCGCAATAAAATGGCATTCCCAACAGGCTGTTCTTTCCGTTTCTGATGAATTCGCTTAACACGAGGCTCTCGGGTTTAAGTTCCAGGACAGCAAGTGGATTATGTTTGCGAACCAACGACATCTCACAACTTCTGTCTCTGGATTCAATTTTGGATTCGATATTCCCTTCTGTCTCATGCTAAATTGGATTGTTAACCTGTATCTTGCCATTCTGGGGGTTCAGGTCGTATCCGGCTGCATGAGACACGTGACCTCTAGTGATTGCATCCTGATACAAAGGAAGTCGGACGAGCGAGGCCCTACGGATCCAAGGTATGTACAGCAAATCAAGGACATTTCGAGTACGATCTCGCTTTGCACGACCTCTCGTCAAAAGCTGCATGCGGCTAAACTGTTTACTGTTTTAAGAGTCCGTCGTTCGTACAAACACGTGACTTTTAGGCAAATCTTGACCGCTGACTGTCCAAACATAGCTCTTACCAAAAGTCCACTTATAGCTTTGACTTTGCGTTGCTAATGGTCGAGAACACCATGATTTCAATAATGTGTCTGTAAGTTTCTGGTATTTGCTTTTCAGATCCTGCATCCGCGTTTTCTTTTAGAAAATATAGAGTGCCATTCCCAAGAAGAGTCCTGTTTTTTCTACATCTCGGCCGAGGATGTGACATGGTAAATCGTCTGATTTCTCATTGAATGGTTTCAGTTGCGAGAAATGTATTAGCCACGTAAAATGTCCATGTAATATTTCTAGTATATATGTGAAGGAGCTGAAGTCCAATTTAGTAATATTTTTTGACAGCTTTCTAGTGCCTTATATACAGAGTTTGGACTAAACACTCTCTTCAATAATCATCCACAGAAATAGCGCAAACGTCGACTGGTCTGCTGTTTTACGTAGGTTAGCTCTCCACTGGTATCTTAGATCCCACTAAGCAATGGGCAAATGTAGACGTAATGCTCTCACCAGCGCTTAAATTTGCTCACGTAATTTTCTTATCAGCGCTTGAATTTCACCGGATAACGCGAACTTTCTGTTAAAGCCACGCAGCCTGAACCTCAATATTAAACAGTAAAATCTGCTTAAATAGAACTGAATTCATGTAAAGAAACCTTAAGCTGAGTGTCTCCCGTTCGTTCTGCATCATTAATATGTTTCCGACTTATATCGGAGGCACTCCTTCAAAATCGAAGCTTGAATCTGTCGCAAATTCAGAGATACAGCATTCGGTAGCTGGTTAACTGGACAAAATATCAGCTATAATTCTCTAAGATCATGTACCAGTGTAAGTTTGGCTTGGCTGTGGAATCAGGATCAAATTTTTTCTAAGACATTGCATCTTGAAATCGTGGGGTAACACATACATCGCATTCCGATTGGCGGGAATGTCGGTGGAAGTGCTTCAGGGGTAGTGTTCCTACTTCTGCTCGTAGAGAAGTACTTATATTGTGTACGTACGTAATGTGCAAATAATCATCGCCGATGCTAACAGCGTATGCCATTCGCGTAAGCTCTATCAGCTCACGGAAACCCTTCCACTCTAGCTTACAGCCTCACTTTGCCGTAAGCCTTCGTCAAAACTACAGGTCCGAATCTCAGAATGAGGAAGATTTTTCTCCTCAAAAATAAATCAAGAGCTACTGTAAGCTCACGTTGTGCAGAATAGTCCACATCCCACTCCAGGCGAGCGCAATGTCTACGTATTACCAGACGGAATGATGTTGAAGCTGTTGTAACTTGTTACGCGAGTTGCGAGACACGGGATAATGTGGTGTCCAAGAGAAAGGGAAATAGTTTCCGCTCCGACCCATGGGAGTCAGTAACATTCAAACTTTTGTCTGGTCTGGTATATCTCTCTTATACATGCTCTGTGGTATGACCTTATCCAGGAAGTCCGAGATTTGATCGAGCCGTGGTGATCCACGTTGTGGCCTCTCCAAATACATGAAGCCAGCCAGAAACGAGGTTAATCAGAATAACAGAGCACGCGTAAATGTTACAAGCTAAAAGGATCGTGTGCCTTGTCTTTTCTCCCGATCTTAATCACATTTGGCATGTAAGACTCACGACGTACGCGCTGCATGGAATTTACGTCACGGAGCTCGAGAGAATTCATGTTCCAGTTGCGAGTCCCCACCTCGGCAACTGGTAGGTCCATGGAGTCAGAAGGCATCCCAGAATAACGCCTCGATGTGTCCATTCCCACACACTTGCCTAAATGCAATCGATCTGAGCTCCTCTAGTGCATAGAGGAAGTCTCTTTGTCGCGTAATGCCGTTGGTCGAGTCCTATATAAGAGGCTCGAGTGAGGGCAATAATCACAATTGAGTTCGAGTCCGCTCGCAGCTCAAACGGAGTCCTGCTGTTCAAAGAGGGAGAGACATGGGGCGCTCTAGGTGCAAGACGCTGCTGATCGTAGCTCTGCTGAGCATCGTTGCTCTGCAGTTGTGGGCCTCTGTCGAAGCCCGTGACGAAGAATATGACGAACTGAACTTCCAAGGCTTGTCAGGCTCCAGCGGCAATGACGGCAAGAGTAGCGACGGCAAGGACAGCAGTGATGGCAAGGACGGCAGTGACGGCAAGGACAAAGGCGATGGCAAGGACGGCAGCGATGGCAAGGACAAAGGCGACGGCAAAGACGTCAGTGATGGCAAGGACAAAGGTGATGGCAAAGACGGCAGTGACGGCAAGGACAAAGGCGACGGCAAGGACGGCAGTGACGGCAAAGACAAAGGTGATGACAAAGACGGCAGTGACGGCAAAGACAAAGGCGACGGCAAGGACGGCAGTGACGGCAAGGACGGCAGTGACGGCAAGGACAAAGGCGACGGCAAAGACGTCAGTGATGGCAAGGACAAAGGTGATGGCAAAGACGGCAGTGACGGCAAGGACAAAGGCGACGGCAAGGATGGCAGTGACGGCAAAGACAAAGGTGATGACAAAGACGGCAGTGACGGCAAAGACAAAGGCGACGGCAAGGACGGCAGTGACGGCAAGGACAAAGGCGACGGCAAAGACAAAGATGATGGGAAGGACAAAGGCGACGGCAAGGACGGCAAAGACGATGACGACAAGGATTGCAGTTCAACGGGATACAAGGGCCGCAACCCCTGCAAGAACAAGTCTCCTCCTCCTGCAAAATCTCCTCCTCCCCAGACTCCCAAGTCTCCACCACCTCCGAAGAAATCTCCCCCTCCTTCATACACACCTCAGTCGCCACCACCACCGGCTAAATCGCCACCTCCTCCCGTGGTTGTGAAGTCCCCCCCTCCACCTGTGAAATCTCCTCCTCCTCCAGTTGTTGTGAAATCTCCCCCTCCTCCAGCGAAATCTCCTCCTCCTCCAGTTGTTGTGAAATCTCCCCCTCCTCCAGCGAAATCTCCTCCTCCTCCAGTTGTTGTGAAATCTCCCCCTCCCCCAGCGAAATCTCCTCCTCCTCCCTACGTCCCGAGCTCTCCACCACCTCCAGTGAAATCTCCTCCCCCTCCAGTTGTCGTGAAATCTCCCCCTCCCCCAGCGAAATCTCCTCCTCCTCCCTACGTCCCGAGCTCTCCACCACCTCCAGTGAAGTCTCCTCCCCCTCCAGTTGTCGTGAAATCTCCCCCTCCTCCAGCGAAGTCTCCTCCTCCTCCCTACGTCCAGAGCTCTCCACCACCTCCAGTGAAATCTCCTCCCCCTCCAGTTGTCGTGAAATCTCCCCCTCCTCCAGCGAAGTCTCCTCCTCCTCCCTACGTCCCGAGCTCTCCACCACCTCCAGTGAAATCTCCTCCCCCTCCAGTCGTCGTGAAATCTCCCCCTCCTCCAGCGAAGTCTCCTCCTCCTCCCTACGTCCCGAGCTCTCCACCACCTCCAGTGAAATCTCCTCCCCCTCCAGTCGTCGTGAAATCTCCCCCTCCTCCAGCGAAGTCTCCTCCTCCTCCCTACGTCCCGAGCTCTCCACCACCTCCAGTGAAATCTCCTCCCCCTCCAGTTGTCGTGAAATCTCCCCCTCCTCCAGCGAAGTCTCCTCCTCCTCCCTACGTCCCGAATTCTCCACCACCTCCAGTGAAATCTCCTCCCCCTCCAGTTGTTGTGAAATCTCCCCCTCCTCCAGCGAAGTCTCCTCCTCCTCCCTACGTCCCGAATTCTCCTCCACCTCCAGTGAAAGCTCCTCCTCCTCCCGTTGTTGTGAAGTCTCCCCCTCCTCCAGCGAAATCTCCCCCTCCTCCATACGTACACAGTTCTCCACCACCTCCAGTGAAGTCTCCTCCCCCTCCAGTTGTTGTGAAATCTCCCCCTCCTCCAGCGAAGTCTCCTCCTCCGTACGGTCACAAGTCTCCACCACCTTCAGCAAAATCTCCTCCCCCAGTGGTTGTCAAGTCCCCTCCACCTGCGGGCAAGTCTCCCCCACCATACAAAAGCCCACATTGGTAGAGGCTACTTGTGCTCGGGTCTGAGAGCATTCGTCGATATAACAGGTAATATGTTTGATATATTCAGCTTTACCCCATATTCGTTTGCATTCATGTAACAGCTCCTAAGAAACGAGCTCTCATTCCACACAAATGTGAGACGTTTGTATCTTGTATACTCTCTTTCTTATTGTAGAAGCCCGTGGATTTTGTGCAGATCAATCGACGACATCATACCGGCACTGTTTGTGATCCGTGAATGGCAGATCATACCAGCGCCGCCCTCATGACTCGTGAATCAAAATGGTGGTGTGCTTTGTAGGATTTAGAAGTAGATCAAATCTCTGTGCTCTGAGCGTGACTACGTTCCTGGCGAAGGCCAATTTTACTTCCTGTCATGCACAGTAGTTTAGCTCCTTAGGGGATTCTAGAGTCGGTCCTGATAGCACATGCAGAGTGAATGAAAACGTCCAAACGTGTTCATCTCTTCATTTCAGAACCTCTTGTGTACAATCTTCAATATCAATATGATCAAGGTTTTGTTTAAAATTCTACACGGTATGTTTTCACATTTGTCTTCTGAGCACGTAGATATGAACAGCACTTTCTTCGGTCCATCCTTTTGATTTGACACGTAATCTTCCGAATCTATGAACTCATCAGATATCTGATAGAACGGGGCTGACCCGCTCTACAGTCTGGTACATTGTGAAAATCTGAGGCGTTGCGATATTATCCCGCAGAACAAGTAGGCAGAGATTTTAAACTCGCTGTATCCTCATCCTCTTCAGAGTTCAAGACCCTGACTTTTCTGACTCAGAAATATTCAAGACAATTGAGGACATTAAATATGAAGAATCAAGAGAATTGATTCTCTTAAATATTTCAGAATCTGAACTGCAACCTCATAATCTTGGTGGCTGTTGTGTTCAAATGTCTATGACGAAGTGACACCAAGTTTGATTATTCAATAGATACAGGACTTCCAGCACCATGTAGCCCGTTGATATTGCCTACAGCCAACTCAAATTTCACTCCTTTATCAAGAACATGTCTGCAGACGAGCGTGTTAGAGTTTGTAAACTCATACTGTTACGAGGTGGAGCAACACGAATCCACAAGTTAAGTCTATTGAACAAAGTTTGTGTCTTATGATTCAAAGAGTCGAAGCTGTTGTACCTTATTCGGCCCTTCGTCGACTTAAGTTCTCAGCGGAGAGCATTCAGATGTCTTCTACCCGTCTGCTTGCGAGAAAATCTGTCTTGGATGTCTGCCTTCCAACAGAAGTCCCACAGTTCAAATCAATTCATGCATGGACTTTTATTGTAAAGTGTGAAGGCAAAAATAATCTATTTGTCCCGACGAAAGAAAAAGAATCAGAATAAATTCATTACGCAAATTTGAAGCGAGTTCATGAACAAATAAAATTGAGACCTGTGTCACAGACTTATTGCAATTGGAAGAATCATTGAAAGCCAAACGTAGAAGTTGATTTGTTTACGAGGGTACAGCCTCAGGAGCTGGCCGTGGTTTCTTGAACCCAGGGAAGAGCCCCTTGTGTTTATGTCGGAATTCCGGCTCCAGCCATTCCCACACAGACTTGTCCAGGCTGCCCCGAGGTATCACCCGGTGCAGACGAAGCATGTAAACATCCTACGAATATACATGCAGTGTACACACATGACAAATACCCCCACCCAAATGAATCGTCATGGAAAGATATTGGCTTTTGCGCAAGAAGTTGGAGGTAGTAGTTAAAAGCAGTTGCTAAGCGTTTTATATACAGATAAAACTTTTGTTGTAGATTTTTATACAATCTATTGCAAGTGTTAAGTCTTGAACCTCAAGTGTTGTTAGAGTAGAATATAAAAGTGGGTAGTAATTATAGACTAATTCAGTTGGCCTAGACTGGAGTTGCATAATCGTGAAGTAACCTAATTATCTGTGCTGAGAAATTGTTTTCATGAGTAGAATATGGTTTACTTTTCCGCCGCCATTTCAACTTGAAAAAAGAAGCCATATATTTTACTATCAGTAGATTGTAAAAATCTTCTCAATTTACGGTATTATTAGTGCTCCTGTATGTCTCCACTGTGTTTGAATAAATATCCTCTGTGAAGTGGGATATACGGCGGACTATGCATGCCTAAAATGGGAGAAGGAAATATAATCTCAGAATTTCACCTCTGATTACGGACTTCACTCTTAGTTCTATTTAGTCCTATTTTCAAATAAAATATTTTCATCATCGCTTTGTGCGTCTGAGGAGACTTCTTTTGTGTGTGGGAAGGCACTTTTTTCTGTTAGCGTTGTGACACATAATCTGAGAGGAGGACGTGCTTTACAGAAACCATTGTCGCAGAAGAGAGAAGTCATGTTGTTGTGTCTTACGAAAGTAAATTTGACACAAGGGACTATTAATAGGAGATGATAGCCCCTAGAGCGAACTCCGTCGCTGAGAGATGCACGACTCTGAGCAGTACTATTGGTACACCATAAGGTCGGAATGATTACTCGCTCCACCAACCATCCACAGAAAGTAGCGCAAAGCTCGACGATCTGCTTTTCTTCGTAGGATACCTGTCCGCTGGTAACTTACATCCCATCAAGCAATGGGCGGCAATGGTTGACGCCATACTCTTTCCGATACTAGCGCTTACACCCACCAGGTTACGTGCGAGCTTCTGAAAAGAGGGCAGGCAGACCGACCCTTGCAATTTCAGCACTAAGTTATGCTGAAGCGGAGCTGTATTTATAGAATTTATCCTTAAGCTATTTAGAATCTCATTCGTTCGGTATCAATCATATGAGCCTAACTTATATCAAAAGCACTCATTGTGAACGGGAGCTTGACTTTCGCAAATTCAGGAATACATCTTTAGATAACTGGAAAAGTAAATCAGTTTTTGGGCGTAGCTGTGGCGCATGAGTAATTGGGCCTTGAAACCGTGGGCTAACTCCCTGGTTTTCACACGTTCATTGCAATCGTATTTTCTGGAATTTCAGTAGAAATGATTCAATGGGTCGTGTTCTTACTTCAGTTCAGAAATACGTACTTATTCGCTAATCTGCGAAAAATCATCTCAGATGTGAACTTTGCAGCGTAAGCCAGTAGCCTAAGCTCTTGAATCTCCGTTAAGTCAGGAAGAAATCCACTCTGCTTTACAGCTTCAGTTTACATGCGCGTTCGGCAAAAATGCGGCAAAATTTTTTTACTCCTCAAAAGCATATCAGAGGCCAATGTGGGCTAACGTTACGCACAATAGTCCTGATACCACTGCTCGCGAGCGCAATGCCTAGATCTGACCAGACTGAGTAAAGTTAGAAACAGTTCGAAACAGTTCTACACATCAGGCAGCCTCAACCCTCGCAACGTGAATCCTATATTTACGAGACACAGGGATAATGTGGTCTCCACGAGAAAGGTTTGTTACTTCTTGCTTCGAACCATGGGAGTCGGTAACAATCACAATTCTGTCTGATCTGATATATCTCTCTTCGACAAGTTCGATGGTAACGAGCTTGTCCACGAAGTCCGAGAATCGATCCAGCTGTGGTCGGCCCACGTTTTGGCTTCCCCAAATACTCGAAGCCAGCAAGAAACAAGGTGAAAACAGAGGATCCGAAAATTCTACAAGATAGAAAAACCTTGTGCCTTGTCTCTTCTTCCGATCTTGTCCACATTTAGCATCAATTACTCGCGACCTGCGCGCTGCATGGACTTTACGTCACGTAGCTCGAGAGATTTCATGTCCCCACCTCGGCAACTGGTAGGTCCATGAAGTCAGAGGCACCCAACCACAACGCCTCGATGTCTCCACTACTACACACACAAAACAAAATGCACTCGATCTGAGTTACTCTGTTGTGTGAGGAAGTCTCTTTCTCTCTCGCAATGCAGTCACTTGACTCCTATAAAAGAAACTCAAGAGCAGACGACTATCATAATCGAGTTTGAGTCCATTCGCAGCTCACACGAATCCTAGTATTTAACTGGTAGAGATGGGGCATTTTAGATGCAAGACACTGCTTTTCGTAGCTCTGGTGAGCGTAATTGCTCTGCAGTTGTGGGCCTCTGTCGAAGCCCTTGATGATGGACACGACGAACTAGAATTCCAAGTCTTGACAGGTTCCGGCGGAGGATCGAGTGGCTACGGCAATGACGGTCAGAGTGACGGTAAGGATAGCCATGGACGTGACGAAGGTGATGGCAAAGGCGGCAAGGATGGCAAGGATGGCCATGACGATAAGGGAGACCACGGGAACGGAAAGGACGATAAAGACGGTCATCACGACGACAATGATGATCACGACGGCAAGGACAAAGACGACAAGGATTGCAGCTCAATGGGGTACAAGGGCCGCAAGCCCTGCAAGCCCAGGTCTCCTCCTCCTCCTCCTCCTGCAAAATCTCCCCCTCCCCAGGCTCCCAAGTCTCCACCACCTCCGAAGAAATCTCCCCCTCCTCCAGTTGCGGTGAAATCACCTCCTCCTCCTGTCAAGTCTCCACCACCTCCGAAGAAATCCCCCCCTCCTCCAGTTGTGGTGAAATCCCCTCCTCCTCCTGTCAAGTCTCCACCACCTCCAGTCGTCGTGAAATCTCCCCCTCCTCCTTACTACACACCCAAGTCGCCACCACCACCGGCGAAATCGCCACCTCCTCCCGTGGTTGTGAAGTCCCCCCCTCCACCGAAGATATCTCCCCCGCCTCCCGTTGTGGCCAAATCACCACCGCCTCCAGCCAAATCTCCTCCTCCTCCATACGTACAGAAGTCTCCGCCACCTCCTCCCGTGGTTGTGAAGTCCCCTCCTCCACCGAAGAAATCTCCCCCTCCTCCGGTTGTGGGTAAATCACCACCACCTCCAGCAAAATCTCCTCCCCCTCCAGTGGTAGTCAAGTCCCCTCCACCACCATACACCTACTAGATCAGACTTGCCATCGGGGCTGAGAGCTCCTTGTATCGATATGAACTGCTAAAGCCTCATGGGCTTATCAACATCCATCAGCATATTATACCAGCATGTATTGTGATCCTTGATCGGCAGATAATAGCAGTATTTGACTCATGACTCGTTAGTAGGTATGGTAGTGCGATTGTAGAATTTAGTGATGGATTAATTCACTCTGCTTTGAGCGTGACTATGTTCCTGGCCAAATCCAATTTTAAATGCTGTCATACTCAGTAGGTCAGCTACTCAGAGGAATTTAGATTCGGTTTTGTGAGCTTAGGCAGAAATCTCGTGAAATCTGCATATGATACCGAAGAGGGACTGAAAACGTGAAACGTGTTCATGTCTTCGTTTCTGAGCCAAATTCTGTATAAATCCTCCAATACCTATTATGATTCAAACATTCGTATCAGGTTTGGAACACCTATGTTAACAAATCGTGCTTTTACACTGGAATGTCATCTGATTAAGTAGATACGAACTAATCTTTCTTTGTTGGAGTCTGCTGTTTTTTATTGTCTTTCATCATCGCGGAGACACAGCACATTCTAGCCCAATGCCGATACAGATTGCCAACTTAAAATTTACTCGTTAAAAGCAAGAACTTTATATGCAGGTTAGCATGTTACAGTACGTGTTGTTTTGCAGCATCAAATCCAAGTTACTGTCAAATCTACCGACATGGTAGTCTGACGTTTTGTATCCAGTTTAAGCTTCTTCGATTTTAGTCTCCAAAGGGGACCAGTCGGCTATTTCTGTGTCCTCTATCCGGGGATATTTAACCACGTGATCACCAGATCCTACATTTCAAATCATTTCCTAGTTAGCGAGCTGATTATGAACGAGTAAAATCTTCATAGTACGATGCAGAGGCTCTCACAATTCTTCCCATTGGTTGACATTCAAATGATCGGAATTGTGCTCATTTTTCTACTCTAGCAGCCAGTGACTTCTTTCAGCTCAGGTAACGAGGATATATGAAATATCACCCAGTGCTATTTCATGAATCTTGGCATACCAACTCAATATGTGCCGGCGTGATCTCAGTGAGCCTACAAATCCCGACCTGTGCACTGATGGACGGTAATTACAACAAACAAAAGGAGGCTGCAAACCCGGCATGTAAGGACTCGCCATTTGTAAACGGGACGGCAAGAACCTTTGTTGACGTTCCGGTTTGTCTGCTCATATCCAATTTGATCATATGATTACGCCTTACTGGATTTCGTCTATTCACATCCGTAATGATTACATGATTGAGGGTACTGGATTTCGCCATGCATATCCATGATCAGCGAGGTTACTGTAGTGGTGAATATATTTCAAACCTTTTCAAAATTGGTACAACAAAGCTTTGCCAATTACAAAGTAGTTCCCAGTACAGGTAAAAAAAGTCAATTAAAATAAAATAAAATGTATGGTTTACTCAATGAGAGATATTCCTTTCTCCTACTATGGACAAGGTTAGTAGAAAGATTTCTGTCACATGTTCTGTGTAATGTAAGAGAATAAATATAGTCATTAATTTTATAAATATAATTTAAAATACTTTTAAAGGAAATAAAAAATATAATACTAATTTATTGTTGGATCATAAGATTGAACCCAGTTTATGAGCATACTACCGATAATTTTTAAATTGAAACCTTGTGAAAGTTTGTTTCGAAAATTTATCAAAAGTTTATTGATCTTTGAAAAATAAATTTTCACAATCAACTTCTTCAACTACACGTAAGGTTTGATAATCATAAATTGCAATACGAGAATAAATCACTACCTAATCATTCTACTCCCAGGTGTGTAATTGCTAGTAACTAATTTCATCTATAATCTACACGTATACTTCCTTCTATCCTGTACGTTCGGATCTCTTACCCTTCATTGTAAAAGTCATCAAGCTTTAATTGTAGCTCCCTTGAGTCATTTATAATCTCTGGACAATGAGTTTTATTGCTTGCTATAATTTAGCTATTAATGCGTCAATTATGTATTCTTTGTTTGCTTTTTAAAACATGGAGATATGATTAAGATCTAGCAACTTTGTAATTTCAAAACATTTGATATAATGATTTTTCAAAGCATACGAATAAAAAAATATTGAATAAAATTAGACTGGATACATATATTCACAATTTTGTAGCATGCTTATAAATGTAAGACTGATAGATTAAATTTATTGACTTGCTACAAACTCTAATTATCTAAATAGCAGTGAGATAATTATATTTATATTATCATGTATTGATATTATGAAATCATCAAATCATATGCATTATTATAAGTATATCTCATAACAATTCAATAACTTATTTAAAACATTTTACCACAAATTTAATAGTAACAACTCAATTTGCTAAATTGTGTCTACATATACATTTTTTGAATCATACTTTGAACAAAGATTTTTAGAAGTAAAAAAAATTTTCTTTCAGTTTTTTTAACAGATATTTTTCTATCCCAGAAAATTAACGTTTTCAATAATATGTCATAACCAAATATACTATCAAACACAAAAAATTAATTGATCAGTAAATGATATGCTATAAACCTGCATCTCTAAGAAAAAAGATGTTTAGAAAAAAAATCAATTATTTGAAGAATAATGAATTTTTTAATATATGCATAATGTATATATATTTTTTAAAATATCTCTTTAGAATTAAAAAATAAACAATGTGGAAAGTTTCATAGTATAAAGTTGAATTGTATTAAACAGATCAATTTTAATAATACATGATTCAAACTATTTATGGAATTTATCTTGATTTGATGTGTATAAATCTTCAAAACATGAAAACGACGATAATTATAGTAAACCTTGATTGTAAGATTAGTTTAAGATTGATTAGATCAACCATTGGTTTACACTAATCAATCTTACACTAATCACTCAAGATTACACTAAACATCCGTCATTGGTGACGAGATTGGCACTGCAGTTCATTCTGCCCAACAGCGCAGAGAGGCCAGACATGGGGGACATTATGAATGTTCTCACGAAGGCCCTGCAAATGGAAGGCGAAATCGTCGAGCATCGTGAACACGCTGCTGTCACATGCCCTCGGCATACTGTCACATACTCTTGGCAGTTGAAGCTTGGATTTCATCGAGAGGCTTTCACACCTGCTTCTGACTCTTAGCCATCGTCTAAGATTTACACTCATTCACCTTGGAACACGGACCCAGATAGATCTATCTTGAGAGGCAAGGGATGTAAATTGATCCGTTGAGGCTGAGATTCCATACGTGATTCGCTTCAATTCAGATTTTAGCTCCCGTTGTCAAGCACAAAGTTTTCTTCGAATCTATACCCAGGTAGTAACCTCTCTATGTTTTTTCAGATGCAAATATGTCAAGACACCATCGGAGAGTAATAAGCATCATGGAGAGTGTCTAACGAGCTCCCAAATTAATTTCATTGGATAAAGTATTGTGGTCCGATAGTGGCAAACACTATCAACATTGTACAAATTCTCAGGTTATAAGAACTTTGATTAGAACATGTCTGAGGGTGACCTGCATGGTCGTTGAGTGGGGTACAATAGGGTAAATTGAAATCTATTGGGTACCATCAAATAATTTGAGTTTCCCGGTGGTCACATCAAGCAATTATCTCTTGATAAGAGTGAGGTTGAGGTCTACAAAACACATGAAACAAAACTGAAGAATGTTTTTCTCGCCTACAGTATACACCTGGGACACTTGTGGACCGTGATGAGTTCCTCGCCTACAGAATTACCGTGATTCTCGTTGTGTCGGTAGCTTTGTGCCAAGTACTTACTTGACACACCAAAGTGACAAATCACAGTATCGCAAATATCGGCAGTGCTCCAGTTCTTCATCGCGAGTGCTGAAAGTCAAAGCTAGAATGGACATTAATAGCAGTGAGCTTTTCAAAAGTTCGGGGAACAAGCAATCGTCCCCTTACACAAACTCACGTAGATGCACAATCCAGTTTGGTGCTCACCGTCAATCCATATTTAGGAAAAAGTCGGTTTAGCGTGCGGAGAGAGCAGCTGTAAACAAGGATACTATACAGCTGCTTTCGAACTCCAAGTGCCAGTGTGTGCATCATGATGCAATCAGCTCACGAAATTATCTGCGGCCTGCAACTACGTGAATCTCACTTTGACATAACACATCGATATACCGTAGATAAAAATTGGATCAGATGGGAATGTCGAAAGTCTCAGGTACAATTTGTACCCACTAGCAGAAGCGCATGCAAATGGCTTTGGCAAATTGTTGCAAGCTTATTAGTCTGGTAATTAATACAAAGTGCACTTGCCCAACTTGAACGATAGTCAGCTTGTATACGAATCCTGAAACCATGAGACATGTCGGTCATGTCGTGTCCCAGCGGTAAGTTGCTTCACAATGTCCGAAGGAAAAGAACACTGACCCCTCTCACAGCGAACGTGGTCGCTTAAAAAGACGTCTTTCGGTAAGTTGAGATAGAGTTCGAAAGTCATTGCATAGTGATCATGTCCAGAAAATCCCCAACTTGATAGTAGCTAGATGCAGCTGCAGTGGGCGCCACGTTGAAGCTTCTCCAGATCCAGGCCAGCAAGAAGCAAGGGAAACGAAACTATACAGTACCATGACTACAGTGTGAATATCAGAAATTCCATGTCTTGTCTTCCGAATTTTTCCACATTTAGGCGTTACAACTCACGATGTATGCACTGCAAGAATTTCACGTCACGAAGCTCGAGAGAATTCATGTTTCTCGGCAGCAGATTACCTCCGTTGTTAGCATGCAATTCTACAGATCTTTTAACCTGTAAACCACGGCAATGCCGGCTAGAACCGTCTCCACGACCATGCGCAACTGCAAACTTTCAGTTACAGTTAGTAAGACTGCTTTGTAAAGGGATTCATTCTTGTCGATCATGTTGCGAGAGGTGTCCTATATAAGAGGCTCGACCAAGCTTGTGTGACCTACCGCGCACTTCGGACTGAGAATGAGAATCGTCGCTCGCTCTAACGCTTAGCTCAAAAATCGTGAATCATCTGATCGCAGCCACTAAGTTCCTTGCTTTGTTTACAAGAAAGTCTATCCCGGATGAAACATCGTCTCGTTCCAACGGCTCCGCCCGCCCAGCTTAATTTTCGGGTTTCGGGTCGGGTACAGCCCTCTACCCGAACCCAGACCCAGACCCGATCCGACCCGAACTCGGGTTTTCGGGTTTTACCCGAACCCGATCGGAGCCTAGAAATTTGTCCTCAAGAAGAATCGTCAGATATCCTCTTCAAACCGTTTTCATGGAGTCCAGATCTGGCCCAAGAAGTAAACGTTGCGGTTTGACAGCTACTAGCCGTAAACAAATATCTCTTCATCCTCCATGGCGAGTTTGAGATGAATTGGTCCAAAATACGGCTGCATTGAAATTAGTAATCGTTCTGAAACAAAGATTACATTTCAAATATTTTGAACTAATGAAAACTTGAAAAGGGTGGTTGTTCTTCCGGAGTGATTTCAGCTGCTTGTATTTCTCGATCCAGAATCGGTAAGCGGACGAGTTCCTTGTGTGAATTCAGCCAGAGTATACATCGGCAGTCACTCCTTGTCCTGCAGACAAATACCAAAGTACCAAAAAGTCAAAGGATAAATACCGCATATTCGAAGTACGCAACTTACGTTTCTCACCGTTCTCGCCCACGCCTTTCCATTCCGTATGACGATTCTCTTGTAATCAATGGCTGCGAAGGTAACTCCTGAAACGAAGTTATAGTGCTATTCGATGATCAATCATCTGACGCTTTTGTAGATAGAATTTTATTTTTATGGTAGGAACAATGCGGGTGCTTGTTGTTTATAAGAAACAGGATACGTCAGGTTTCTGAGCGGCTCAACTTTACTCAGGTTGTCGTTTTGAAAGGGAAGTTTATAAATGCTACTCCATTTCAAAAGTGCGCTGCCGACTCGAAGAGCAGCCATAAAAACAAGGATGAGTCTCTTGTCGACAAGTATGGATGCAGTTGAAGGAATACGCTTTCAATTAGCATGGCGCAGAAGTCATGTATAGTGGTGTCTTGGGAACAAAACTTACGTGTGAAATTTGCATCAGCTGTGTGTACTATCAAAGACTTCGTCATATGGTTGGAGACAAGTATCAGGTGCGCGAAGCTTTGCTTAAATCATATGGCCTTTATCTCAAGAACTTCGTGCAATTTGGAATATTAGTTCTGGACTTCTTGCGAAACTGAGTCATGTTGTTTAGTTCATCATGGGATCTTACAATGGAGAGATCTATGTTCTGTGTCATGCTTGGTTTTGTCTGTTTCCGTCCCAAATGCATAACCAAATGCCTGTTCACCCCGTAATTTTGTCCTTAGGTGAGATCCAATGGCGCTGTGAATCCTGTGACACGACAGCCTGTTAAAGGGCGAAAGTTTGGTGGTGGTATTCGTTTCGGAGAGGTGGAGCGAGATTCGTTACTTGCTCATGGTGCAGCGTACTTGTTGCATGATAGGCTACATACATACTCAGACTATCATACTGCGGACATCTGTCTTCGATGTGGAAGTCTGTTGTCTACTACACCTGCAATTCAGCAGAAGAGCAGTGCAGCTTTTGCTATGGGATTAGGGTCAAGTAGGGAGAGCAAAGTCATCTGTAGAGTGTGCAATTGAAGTCGGGATATTGAGCTTGTGACCATGCCTTACGTTTTCATATATCTTGCCTCAGAGTTGGCAGCCATGAACATCAAATTAACACTTACAATAGGCAATGGCTGATATATGAAAGTAAATCTATTTTTCAGCTTTACATCCTCCCCATTTGTACATTTGACGAATTTGAACGAAATGCACTCTGTCGAGCCGAGCGGATGCTTTGAGTTTACCACGCTCCACGTGCACACCTTCCAGAAATTTCAAGGAGCTTGATACATGTATCACAAGAGACGAACAGTGAAGGTCCGTCCAATTTGTCGGAGAACTTTCGGCGAAACTCAATTCTGGTTGAAAATTTTTCATTTATGATCAGAATTGAATCAGCAAGAGAAACATTTTTCTTCACAACAGTAAAGACATTCATATATTCTTGTTAATGGATGTAATTTAATTTCTGCCAAGCGAAGATTAAACTTTTAAAATTAATTCCAGCTGGGACAGAAGAAGTCCAAATGAATCGAAAGATATGGTACTCGAGCCAGTACTTCTTCCTTGAAAGCTTGAAAAAATGTTCAAAGACAAATGTGAGAAGATTAGATTTCATGGTTAGATCCACATGCTACTTTAGCTAGGAAACTCAAAATTATTCCCGCCGAGCATCTACACCAGAAGTAGCAGCCTTGAAATCTGAAGTCCAAAATTTTGGATGCAGAACACTAATTGAAGAGTTTTCCTCTGGTTACCAGTTCTCCCATTCTCGAACGAGGCAGAAACCAAGAGCCTTGGTCTTGTAGTGAGGACCCTGCTCATTCACAGTCCAGTTGGAAAGTGGCTCATCATAGCGATGAGGAGTATTTTTGTATATAACCCACCACATGAATTTGTCGTCTCTCCACGCAAAGCTGCAAATCAGCTGCCTGTCTGCAAACTCAACACGCAAAGCTGCAAATCAGCTGCCTGTCTGCAAACTCAACAACCGGCAGATACATTTGAAAGCTCGTAGATTCCAAACGCTTCAAGAACACTGCTCTGTACTCAAGAGTCGAGCGACCGTATTGATAACATTGCAATACAGCCTCACTGGGTCACTCTCCATTTTGTTTATCACCCGAGTTTTGTTGAAACCTAACAACTTCCAGCTAAGTACAAGCATGGAAAAGAAACCTACTTCCTAATTATAGTCAAGTTTTAACTACTTCCGGACGTTCTGTGTCCTAATCTACAGGAAGGTGTTTATGTCCGTAGACTCTGAAAGCTTCAGAAGCCTTTCAGCACAATGAAGTAGTCCCATACATCCTCGTCTTGCTGATCGAAATTAATTGGCTATGTCAATCTTCAATAGATCAATCTTAAAAAAGTTTCCTGATTTCTTTTAAATGCCACGAAAATGGGAATCACAGTTGAAGCACCATGAAATTCCAACAACAAATTATGCTATAATCTTAGTTCTAGATAAATTGAGAATTGAGATAAAATGTAATGCTGATGGAAAGTCTGATACTTAATCTACTTCAAATATAGAGATGTTGAAGTTATTAAATTTGATGATGGGAACTCAAGATTCACATTAAAATGGATCTACATTTCAAATTCTTATAGAATAAGCTTCTAACAAGAATTTATATCATCTCTGATCAGTAGTAGATGTTTATGAACTTCGAGATAGTTATCAAAAAGTGACACTGTGATAATCTTTGTATACCAGTAATACAATTTTGAAGTGTAGATTTTATTTATAGCAGAAATAGAAAATCAAAAAAATATTTGGTTCCAAAGCAAGAATCTAAATAATTCATGGTTCGTTTTGTTCCTCTTGACTTGCAACATCCACAGCTGTATGCAAACCAAAGAGAATGGAGGATCGGTAAAATAATTTGGCTTACACTCCTTGCATGAATCAAAGCCTTGCTTTAATCCATGCAAACATGTTTCATAACCTGAATACAAGTCTTCTTCTTGAACTTGTTACTCTTTCAAAGGGAGGCCGTATCGAAGTAAATTGCTGTAGATATTAAGAAGTTTCTCAGTAATTTGAAGTTTGTGACAGAATTATATATACCAAGTTTAAATGTTTTGATCTGACGTCCTATACATTGAAATCTTCAGATCTATATGATAAACATCAAGGTGCAATAGAGCAACAGATCAATGCTTGCCAAACGTCAAATAGAAATAAATCATCAACATTAATGATAGAGACCATGTTTTGGAAATTGGATACTGGATACGGGATAAATAGTGTGTTTTGACAAGACCATTATACTCTGCACTTGAACTGCTTTCTCGCTCCACCATGTTCTGATAAGGACAAACCCCAGATTTCTTACATATCCGTGAAGATCCTTGGTAGTACCGGTCCATTAGGAGCCAGTGATGTGAGAAAGCTGAGTAGAATCTCCACAGACATAATACAATTTAATTTATTTTTTCCACAAAATCACGCAATGGACCTCATCAGTTCGTATTTTTACTTGCACCACTAACCACGTGACCTGATGCTTAAGGGCAGATGTCCCTGTAGCCAGTATCTACCATCCGTTCAGAGGAGTGCATAAAGTGAAAACTGACTTGGATTGTGTCAATGGGTATCTGATTCAAAATAATTTTTATAATGAGTTTTCAGCTATCATCTGGAGGAGTGGACACTCATGTTCTGCTGGTTAGGACCAACCGGTACTTTGGCCTTGCAAACTCGAAATCAAATATCGTACCGAATCCGACCTTTCAGAAGAATTCGGTTTAAGCAATTTGGTGCATTACGTTTCTGCATATATGTGAACATCAGGTAACTGTAGATATGCATTATTTACCAAGCAAACCACATTTTGTAAAAAAATTTGCCTTCAGAATGTCGGATTGAATTACGGAGGTCATCATTTATTCAATTTTGAAGTTTGTACAGTTAATTGTGATAAAAAGTTCTTATATTTGTCCAGCGGAGTCAACATAATTTTTTACTCTGTAAGGACGGAAGATATTGTTATATATATACATGAGTTTGCGCTCCCATAGAATTCAATTTCTATTACATACTTCCTCTCAAGCTGATTGTCAAATCATCATGCTATCTCCAACCTTTCACAAGGATCTTCACGGATATGTAAGAAATCTGGGTCATGTGTTTGCATATAGCTTTTGATGTGGGATGAAGTGAGTTCACCATATGCACTTTGAATACTCTTCTGCTAGAGACTTTGAAACATAACTCCATCTTCGGCAGGAAATAGTTGCTTCTCACCAACATACTTTGTGAGAATTTCGACAATTCGGCTGCCATGTCGCAATAATGAAACTGCACAGAAACTGTTCTTGTGTTGCTAAGCTTCTGTATATCTTCTAGGAGTATTGACCCGCTGACCTTGGGGCGAGAAGATGAATCTAACTCCTTTCCAACACAGCGAAGATGCTTGACAATATTTTCATTATCGACTCTGGCGACTACAGAATGTAACTAGTTAACCATAGAAATGAAGACCACAAAAAACTTGACTTCTACAAAATTGCGAATGGATGGAGGGAACCTCTGAGATATGGTGCTTTTTAAAGGTTAGGTTGAGTGGTTAATTCCGTAATTCAATCCGAGATTTCAAGGTCTCTTTCACCACGGTGTTCTAACCAACTTAGTTTTAGTTTCATTAAATCTCTGCTTATTCAGAAAATTACATCATACTGTATTTCAAGGTCTGTTCATGTCGGAGTTACCTCAAGTTAAGTTTGAACTTCATCAATGCTCTATCTCTTCAAGCGAATTTTTTCACAGGTTCTGAATGGATAGACCCTCCAAGGTGAAATGGTACATAACACGTAAGAGTTGATTCTACGTAAAGTACTGAGTAAATTGTAGCTATCTCCGCATGAATATCATATGGTCAACAGCTGTTGAGATATCTATACCTTTTTATACTACTGGGACTAATCGTACGATTGAAGGTATAAACCTCTCCAACAACAGCGGCTGATTGATATTTCTATTCTTACTAACTACTACTAATGGGACTATCGATTGAAAAGTTTCATCATCAGTAGTAGGGTTCTTGATATCCGTATTAGTCTTAGATCCGTATTGGTCTTGAAGAAGTCAGTCCATGCTTCGCTCCAAAAGTATCAAATCCATGTGATATCTCGATCTAGCCCTGCCTGCCTTCCTTCCTTCCAATCCGATTCCACAAACGAATCGATCGACAGAAGGATATCGATAAACCGAAACATCCCACGAGCCCATTTTTCTAAATCAATTGTAAACACCAAACGAAGAAGGGATGGTCCGTCACCCGAGATGGCGAACGCAGACGAGAAGCCGGGCCGGTCAATGGAATGGCATCTAGATGAAACTCCCTGGGACACCAAGGATCAGTATTAGCTCCCGATCTTTCACAACTTCACCAAATTCATTTTATGGCCGCTGATGTGGATACTCGATTTCACGTCAAGTCAAGCATGCTGCTGATGCCATACTCACCTCGGAAAGTTGAACGCACCGAGCCTGCGGTCGTGCCATTCGTCGCTCGTGCCTAAGGCCTGTAATGACAATACAGCGGCTGTCATCGTCGATTCTCGATTGCAATCCGAAGTCGCGACTATGAAGTCTGACATAATGAAGCAAAAATGGAGAAGGCAGTCGGAAGCCTCACCGAGGGAAATAGAATAGGATCCCAGGCTTGCAGGAACTCTGAAGTAGTCTTCCCCTGATAGAAGGTGGGAGCTATCAGAGGCAGAGTTTTAATGAGACTGGCGACGCCCGCGTTCGTGGCTGCGGCTGCCCCGATTGCAGCGCTCTGCATACATCCATCCAAGCATCCAACCAGTCACGGCAAATAAGCTTGAGTTCCAAGCCCGAATGTGGATCTTACCTGAAGGGAGGAGAAAATCACGTCAAGGTGACATTCACGCACCAGAGAGACGCCGACGTAATGCACTCTGGATCCCTCTCCGTAATTCCCCGCACCTGGTGGCGAGTTCGAATCTGAAGTTGTGGGAGGAGAGTAGGAAGGTGGCGGCATGGATCCTCCTCCGTATGGCTCCGTTCCAGCAGGACTCGGGGCTCCATATCCGCCAGCGGCAGGACGACTGTAGAAGGACGTGGGAGATGGACATCCTCCACCGGCACTTGGTGGTGAGTTCATAGAACCGGCGGGACTGGGTCCTCCAAAACCAGCGGCTGCCGTGGGAAAGTAGGAGGATGGAGCTGAGTTCGATACTCCATATGTGCTTGCGTCTCTCGGGAGAACGCATAAGGAGTAGGAGCTCCGTATCCACCAGGTGAAGAGTAGGACGACGATGGCGAATATGCTCCTCCGTATGTGTCTTCACTTGAAGGTGACGATGAGGCAGAAAGACTCGGACCTCCATATCCACCAGGTGGAGAGTAGGAAGGTGGAGAGTAGGAAGACGATGGCGGAGTTGATCCTCTATGTGAGCGTTCGCCTGGAGGCGAGAAAGACGAAGGACTAGGAGTTAGGAGATAGTGGACTTTCTGACCTGCTGCTAGGACTTGTGTACAGGGCTACAGCCTCAGGAGCTGGCCGTGGTTTCTTGAACCCAGTGAAGGGCCCCTTGTGTTTGTGCCAACGTTGGAGCTTCGACTCCAGCCATTCCCACCTTGTCCTTCTTACTTCTCGCATCCAGGTGAAGGGACACATAGAGGAACATCTGATTATCGGGTTATACCTCGGGCTGCCTTGACAACTTTGTGTGAGAATGGCTACAAGTGAAGCTCCAACGTTGGCACAAACACAAGAGACCCTTCCCTGGATTCAAGAAACCAGCCATTCTCACACAGAGTTGTCGAGGCTGCCCCGAGTTATGACCCGATAACCAGATGGTATTCTATGTGTGCCTTCACCTGGATGCGAGAAGTACGAGTAATTGGAGATGTTGGACTTTCTCACCTGCTGCTAGGACTTGTGTGCGGGGGTACAGCCTCAGGAGCTGGCCGTGGTTTCGATGCCCTAGCTGACAACAATCAGAGTAGCAATTAAAGTAGCTAGTGACAGCCATGATGATAAGGGCCCAATTCTCGACCCCATTGTCCTCAGTTTGCTGAGGACACACTAACTTTGATACACTGGATGTTGCTGATCTTGACACACTGTAATAACCCACCAAAGGCTAAAACTGCAGTATGGTGGTAAAAAGATCGAACCCACAGGGACAGAAGCAACACACAGAGTAAAAAGTGTCACGTTTAACAGACTTTTGTAGAGTTTGAATTCTCAGGCGACTGTCACTCCCAGAAATACTGCAGTGCTCGACTCGGAGGCTCGACTCGGAGGAGGATACTCGACTCGGAGGATGCTCGGAGGATGCACAGTACAGCGTAGTCACTCAACACACACACACACACATACACCTGAAACTAGCAAAAGCACAACTCGGAGGTCGGTCAGGACCTCCGCTTCGGATTTCAGGGGGAAAATGTTTCACAAGTTCACTCAGAGACTCTGCAGGTAGTGACTCCCACTCCGGCTTTTACTGCCCTTCCGCCAGGAACTAGCGTAGGGAACCCGGACTGGACTTCCCACTTCGGAACGAAGCCCCTTCATACGCCGTGGACGTCACCCTTGACTCACACCAAACGCAGGGGGTACAGGCCCGACCGAGAACTTAACTGAGACACAATCCAGTAACACACACACACAACCTGAATTGCAAACCAAGGCTTACACGAAGTAAAAAAACTTCACTTTGGCATTCAGGGGAAACTTCCCGTAGGAGTACAATCAGGATATGTCACTCGAAGGAGTAAGGGGGAACTGTTCAAGTCTCTAACTCGCAGCCGGCTCTGAGCATCAGAAATCACCCGCAGGTGCAGATCCGCACTACTCAAGTCTCTAACCGGGTGCTAGCTCTGAACATTCAGCCGAAGGCCTTCAACTACAACATACGGTAATTTCGCTATGCTGCAGCTTCTCTACGTGGTGACAGGACCAAAATACACAAACACGCCAAGAAAGTGAGTTCCTGATCTGCACTTCCGCAACTGGAAGAGTCCCAAGGCAAAACGCCTTGATCTACTTTATACCCTCTAAGGTCCTAACTAACACTACGCTATCCTATCTACTACTCGCAACACCTGCACGAAACCAAACTACGCTACTGCACTCTGCAGATCCGGTGCTGCGCCTCCTGCGCGCCGGACTGCCTCGCTCTCTATCTCTACCTTGCCAATCTTCCGACCGGCTGCGCAACCCCAGACGCCGGAGGGCTGCAGTCACTTCCAACTCCAAGTGCGCCATAGTGTCGCGCGCGCCCGACAAGAAGGCTTCTAATTTCCTTGCTACTCGCCGCCGACTCCGACTGTCACCCTCCGTCAATGCCGCCACCCGAAGCTCAAACTCCCTGAGTGTGATCTTCTCTTGAGCTGCCACCTCCCAATGGGCGTATCTTTTTAGATAGTGAGTCACCCGCGTCGCCAACTCTTCTCGCGTCCGGCAGCTACCTTCCACATCTGCGCGCTGTGCCCTCAAATCCGCGCACTCGGATTGCAAGTTGCGCAACAATTCCTCATCCTCCTTGCGTGTACTTTGGCTTTCTTCTAAGGCGCGCTTCTGGCGCGCAAGCTCTTCTGCTAAGATGCGGTTTTGTCTCCGCTCTTCCTGCAATTCCGACTCGATCTTTGCCCGCATTAGCTCGGCATCCGCCTGGTTTTTCGTCGCCGCATCCTCCCTCTGTTGTTGCAGGGTTTGGTATAGCTTCTGCGTGACCGCCAGGTGCTGTCGGAGGGTAGTGTTCTTATCCTGCAATGTTTGGCACCTAGAGGCCCAAGTGGCCACCTTGCTCCTCGTCCTGCGTTTGACAGTCTCCACGTAAGACTGCGGTTTTCCGGTACCCGAGTACTTGGATGTCTTGCGATCCAGATATCGCAGGAGTAGAACTATCTGCTCGCACAACACCCCTGTTGGCGTTTTCTGCACAGAGTCCGCTTCCTGCTCTTCCGAACTCGTCTCATCCTCCGTTTCGAGGATTTCAGTCGCCACCGAATCCCTTGGCGACTCCCTGGAACTGTGGCGCGCAGCAGCTTCCGCCGCGACTGCCGCTCCACTCCCTGCTAAAATATCCAAGGCAGTGGGGGATCCCACTTCTTGAGCCCCTTTTCCGGCTCGATCTTCGGTTTCCGAAGGGGTCGACGCCGCAATGACTTTTGTCACCTTTGCCCCGCCCGCTTCTGCTGCCTGCCCTTCCGGCGCGATCTGCGCGGAAGGTGTCTTCGCTGGAGGTGCGTCCGCCGAAGGCGTCCGCACAATGGTCGTCGGTCCTGTCCGTCTCGCAGTCGGCAAATCTGGCCGACTCTTTGTTGACCGACTCGCAGTCGGCCGACTAGCAGGTGTCCGACTGGCAGTCGGATCTACCCTGCGCGTCTTCACTCCACTTGGCCTGCTTGCTGGCGGCGTTTTCCCAGAAGTGCCTTCCGCCGAAGACGACCCTCTGAGGGTTGTTGGCTCGTCAGCCAAACTCCCTTCTGCTTCCGGCCTGCTGTCTGGTTCAACGCGCCGCTCAGTCGGCCTTCCTTCCGTTTGTCGACCTTCAGTCGCCCGACTCGTAGTCGGCCGACTGTCAGTCCGTCTGTCTTCTTCCGAAGGCATTGGTGCCTTCTGCGCAGAGGTATTTGCCGACTTCCCCAGAATCTGCGCGATTATCTCCTCCTGCGTGGGCAAGATACTCCGCCGGACCGGAGTATGCCTGGTCTCCTCAGTACTAGTTGGCACTTTGCGTGCCCTCTGTTTCGGTCGGCTGTGAGGCTCGTTGGTTGGCCGACTACGAGTCGGCGCAGCTGGCATTTCCGGCTGCCTGTCCTCAGGTCTCTCATCCCATTTCCGCTTTCGCGGAGCGCGCTCACTTCGACGTTCTTCTGCTGCTCTTGCTGGAGGCGGAGCCGGAGGTGGACTGGAAGGTGCCTCGTCCGGATCCGTGTCTACTTCGGCCTCCCGCGAGTATCTTCCTAGATAGCTCCGGGTCAGCAGCGGGAACCGTGTCCGCTCCGAATTTGTCAAACATCCCATCGCCCGATAAAACACAATCAGGTAAGGTGAAAGATGATTGAGGGTTCCTCCTCTCTCTTCTTGCGCATGTTGGCGCGTCACCTTCCACAGGAGCCGTGCCCAATGAACTGGAGCTCCTGACAACACTAGCTCCACAAATCCTACTTGCCAACCATGCATGTAAGCGGTCTTGGTCGGCTGCAATATCTACAACAATGCAGTCGCGACATTTCTCCGCAATCGATCTTTGTAATCCCGTGTCCGGAAACCGTTCTTGGGATGCCTGGCAACTTTGAAAAGCTCATTGTAGGAGATTTCTTCCTCCTTGGACACCTTCACGCTATCGGCCTCGAAGAGGAGATACCCTTCCTCGCCGGCACACCTGCCCAACACCTGCGCCCAGTCACAAATGTCCCACCTCTCTGGATGTGGGCGGAATCCGCGCGAGGGCTTGTGTCTCTCCTGCAGATATTCGCGCACCATCTCCGGACATGTCCAGTTCCATCCCCACAGGAGGAAATCGAGCTTCAGCCCTGTTAGCACATCTTGGAATGCGCGCAGACCGATCTGCGGCACTCTGAGTGGAGACACTCGCAGCTGGGGGACCTTCGACATTGCGTTTCCTGCACACACAGACGTTCTCCCTTCCGCTCGCTCTCTCACAATCGCCGCTGCGCGTCGGCCGCTCCAGCACTGACTGCAATCACTCTCTCTTCTTGCGCGCTCAAGTTCGCTACTCGCAAGTTCTCTGCAAGGTCTGTCAAGATCCTTGCGCAACTCGTCTCCGCACTCTCTCCTCTCACTGCAGGTCTCTCCGCCCTTGCGCGTAATCTTGGAAGCTGGAAATCGCAAAATCAAGAATGAGAGAATGAGACTGGAGAGCAGTCTTTTCTTCTCCGAATTCAAGATCGTCCAACGTTCTTACTGGTTACAATTACGCAGCCGGCTTTACGGCCTAACGGTTCGCCCTCGCATGCTTGAATTCACGTCTCCGCACTGCGCGCATTCGCATGCGCGAATGTTGAATTCTCCCGCCGCCACCGTCTTCCGGACTCGAGTTCCCCGCAGTGTATGCGTCGGCTATGTTGGCGTATTCCTTCTCCGTCGGCGCCTCGCTGGAGGCGCACATCAAGTCGGCGCGAATTACGCCGACGCGTATTCGTACCACTTGTTTTGTCCGTTCTGCCCCGTCTATTGCTGACGGCGCATATCCGCCGGCGCAAATCATGCCAGCGCATCCGCCTATCCGCGCCACGTCGGAGGCGTACATCCGGCCGGCGCTTTTCTTCCGTTGCGCAGCCGCCAAAGGCGCTTCCGCCTCTGAGTTGATTTACTCCCATGAGCGCGTGATTCCGCCGAAGGCGCATCGCCGAAGGCGTACGGGAGTCCTTTCCGACTGTGAACCCTAGC